GAAAATGTGAACACCTTGCAATCCTGCTACAGCCCACCTACACCAAGAGGCTCAAAGCCAACCCAGTCACAGTGAGGACTGTGAAGATGTGGACGGAGGATGCACTGGCAGAATTGCAGGGCTGTTTGGAGGCCACAGATATGAACATTTTTAAGCCAGCAACAGATAACATATACGATTGCACAGATACTGTCAGTAGCTACATTGACTGGTGCACTTCAGTTTGCATCCCTACCCGGAGTCTCCGGTTGTTTCCCAATCAGAAGCCCTGGTTCAATGCGGAAGTACACAATAAAATCAGAAACCAGTGCACAGCTTTCAAGTCAGGGAACATCATGGATAAAAGGCATGCCCGATACAAGCTCCAAAAATCCATCCGGGCTGCCAAGAGAACATACACTGAAGGACTTGCTACAGGGAAAACAACAATAGCAGCATGTGGCAGGGAATCCAATCAATTACCAACTGCAGAACGGAGCCAAACAGAACTGTGACCCAGGATGCTGCTCTACCAGACAACAGCTTTTACACCACATTTGACCAGCACAACAGAGATACTCCCCAAAAGGCCCCCTGTGACCCAGAAGAGAATGCACTCCAGCTGACACACACACAGGTCCTCCGGGTTCTGAGGCAGGTGAACCCCTGCATGACAGTAGGACCTGACCGTGTGGCAACAAGAGTCCTGAAGGCCTGCACAGAACAACTATCGGAAGTGTATACAGACATCTTTAACTCCTCTCTCTCACAAGAAACAGTTCCGCGCACCTTTAAGTCCTCTGTTATTGTACCGGTCCCCAAAAAACCCAACACAACCACAATGAATGACTTCAGACCCGTGGCCCTCACACCAGTTGCCATGAATTGTCTGGAAAACCTGGCGTTGCAGGAGAAGAGCACAGGGCATCCTCAGGGACAAACATCACCCAGCTCACACTCTGTTTAAGTGGGGGAAATCAGGCTACAAGATGAGACAGCGCAGGCCTGTGAGTATCAGCACTCACAAAGTCCGCTTCCACAAAAACTTCTTTCCAGCCACTGGCTTGTGGCACAGGACATTCAGGAGGGAAAAAAATACCTCACTCCTTACTGACCACTATCTGATCCCACAATACTAAGAACTCACCTCTAACATGTGCAATAAATAACATGCAATAAGTATTTACAAGTATTTATAAGTATGTGTTTACATGTAAATACCTTTTATGTTTTATATTTTTTAATTTATAGATATATACTATACCTTATTTATAGATGACTCTGAGATACACACAAGAATTCCAATGTACCTGTACTTCAATGTTCCTGTGCAATAAACTTTTTCTTATTCTTATTCTTATCTATTCTGACAAGACTGAGGCTCCCACTGGTGTTATCCACTCTGCTCATCACAGATAGGACACTGATCCCACAGCTACTGTATCTGACCCACTGAGCTGAGATGAAATGCTTTTGTCATCATCTATTTAATCACGCAGAGAGCCACAATTTGAGATTGTGATCACAGAGCAGCAGCACTGACTCTGCTCCTCATAAATGTCTGAGTACATCAAGGTCTTTTTACAACAACCAGGCCAACCAGAGGAGCAAAGGGACAAAAGAAAAGTGGGAAAAAACAATAGAGAGGCTGGGGAAACGTGGAATCATAATAGGTAGGAATGTAAAGGGAGCTGTGACTGGTGCGTTCCTATGTTGTGGTCCATGATGATTCATAGTTCGTGTTTTCTTACCACTGGTCCCCTGAAAGGCATCTCTAACTGTCAAAACATGAACCGTACCGCTCACTGAGAGACAAGCGACATGGATGGAGGGGATGAAAGGATGAAAAGGAATAGATGGATTTGAGAGGGGCGGACCAAAGAGGCATGCAGCTTGCAGCATGTGTGCACACTGTGCTGCCTTCAAGAGCTGTCAGAAATTGTACCATCCCTTAGTTCTCATGAATGATCCAACAATGACAATTTCACAGTTCGTGAGTTGCCAAGAAGTGATTTTTTTTTTTTTAGCAAGTTGGGCTATGTGTGCTGAGGCAAATAGTTTTATTTTAATATTTGTTGTAATTAAAGTATGAACATTTTCATTAAACTTAATTTATCACATTTATGACACATATCTAAATGTTTATACACAAGAACTGTAAAGCCAGATCCGCAGCCCAATAGAGATAGCATTATTGGGTTTACATTAGATTATTGTTTGTATGGAAGCCCATTTCTGCCAAGAAAAGAAAAAATCAGATGAACATTATGTTCAAACATTATGTCAAAAATAAAAATACTCATGGTATGGGCTCTCGGTACAAGCGTAAGCTTGTGTAAACAGAAAAAAAGCCTTGAAGAAGAGAGGAGGCATGAAGACAAAGGTACATAAGCCCACAGGCTCCATTTTCCTATGCCTGTATTTTTAGATAATCTGCACTAAAGGTCTTACATCAGCCTTAGTTAGCTGGTATTAACAATGCTAACACTATACTTGCTAACATACTAACTGCGATTAGCATCACAACTTTTAAAAACTGCATAAAATTGGTATAGTATTAGTATTATACCATACCAGATAGGGCAGGTTTCAACACGGTCATGTCACCCAAGAAGCTGACACTGCTGGTAAGTTATGCGTTTTAGTTAAACCTATAGAGATGCCCTGTTCTTTGATTATAAATCAATTCTGTCAGATAGGGAGTCTGTAGTAGCTGTTTTAAAGGACTGATTATTGAGCAACATCATGGAGCCTCCTCCAATGCTGCCAGTGTTAAAAAGACATCTAAAGTCAATTTTTAAAAGGAGAGCATCAAACTCTTGCAGATTGTCTTGCATTATAACATCCTCCAGATCGCCGATCTATTTCATAGCAGGTCCATTAACCTCCACCTCTACCTCCATCATTGCTATCATCCAAGAAGTTGACAATGCTGGTACATTTAGGCCTACATCAACAATAAATGAACAACTATTCACCTCTAGGAACATCCAGTGTATAAACATGTCAACTTATTTCTGTGTTAATCTTCCTCATTGTTACGAGGGTGGTGTGGTGTGGTGTGGTGTGGGGACAGAGAGGACCCACACGCAGCGCTCTGAGCGAAGGTTTATTTAGGGAAAAAGGGGGTTGAGGGACTAGAGTGAGGGAGAGGAGGATGCCGGGGAAACACTGGCACAGAGAAACTGACGGGGCTGGGACCAGGGAGCCGGGGAACACTGGGACCGAGGAAGGGAGGATGCAGGGGAGAACTGGGAGGATGCCGTGGGGGAAGCACGAAGAGGAGAGGTCCGGAGGATGAGCCCAGCTGACAGAACGGATGACGAGGATGAGGGAACCTGGGAGGGAAAACAGACAGAAAGACAGGGTTAGTGACTGGAGCGACAAAGTACAGGGAAAATGAGAGACAAACAAGAAACATGAGAGCCTGAATGTAGAGGTGGCACCGGGTATAGAGCAACGACGATCAAGCAAGAGTGGTGTGGAGAACTGGGGTTGAAATACAGGCTGGGATGAGGTTGATTACTGGCAGGTGTGGCAGGCTGACGAGGTGGCTGATGAGGTGCAGGTGCAGGTTGGCTGGGCTCAGGAGCAGAGGGAGAGAGAGAGAGAGAGAGCACACAGGGGAGAAAACACAGGGAGGCAGGCAGAGAACAGAAAACCAAGGAAAAAGCAGAATAACTGATAAAAAGGAGAAAAAAAAACAGGACACTCACCGTCAGCCGGGCTGCCACCACAACACTCATAGGTCTACCTGTGCCAACTGAAGTGGAGAGCAGTACCATCATGCTTACTACCACACCTGGCTCCCCAGTTTCTACTCCTCCAGCGGATCCAGCTCACTGGCCATTAGTCCTTAGGGACCAATTACACGTTTATGTGGTGAGCAGTAAACCAGCACAGGTTGACAGAGACATTTTGACTTTTCCAAAAAGACACTCATACAGTAAAATGCTTTTTTATCATTACATGTTTAGATCACTCATAAAGAAGCTGGTTGAGAAAAATGACGCTATCAACTGTTTTGTAGTTTTTGTCTCTTAAACTCTTGTTTGGCTGTTATTAAAGATTTAAGCTTTGTTCAGTCATAATCAGTTTATCAGTCTTTTTATTCAGAACTACATTCATCAGTGTCTACTGGGTCTCGCACTGCCATTAAGCTCAGTAGCACTGGTGGTATCATATGTTTCCTGTTTGACATCAAAAACAGTAGATATAATAATATAGAATATAGTCTGGTTATTTATTTTAATTATAATCAGCGTTACTGCCAAATAGGTTTAAGACATTTGCTTTGGTGTTTTTGTGCTAAACAAACATGGCAGGTTTAAAGAATATAAGAAAGATTTGTCGGGTCTTATTTAAAAACAAGAGATGTTGTTTTTGTGTCATGTATAGTGACAACGCCTGACAGTCAGAGGGGCCTCCAACAAAATTTTGATTAGGGCCCCACGAAGGTCTAGGGCCGGCTCCGCCTGGCTGCCTTCCTCATTTATATTAGCCACGCAGTTATACGAACAATTGGAAATAACAGGGGGTTTTTTGTAATTCCAAATATCTTTTTAAAAATTTTTTACTTAACAAAATAATTTACTACACACCATAAAACTACTTTAAATTTATAGTCAACAATGATTATATGTCAGGGGTGGAATAACCTGTCAGAATATATACCAAGTAAACACTGCATAACACTGTAGATTTTGACATGACACCGCTCTGCAAGACAAGGGCCTCAAGATGCTGTAATAATGCAGGACACGCCTTATTATTATTTCATGTTGTACTTAAGTAATTACATTTATTTACCAAAAGCTAAACAATGCAATAAACCTGGGTGCCTTGCTAAATAGGTGGTCCACCCTTAGCTAATGCACATTTCCCTTTTTCTCATTTTCTGCCCAGTTAATGGCACTCAAACAAAACAGCAACATTAGCCTATTTATTTCCTCTGTCACTGTTGGATGTTGTCGATTACGAGGAGGACCTGAAGGCAGCGCAGGCAGAGAGAGCGAGGGAGAGAGCGCGAGGGCGAGAGCAACCTGACTGACAGAGGGGGGAAGGGGAGGCACATTAAGCGACAGATTGGATGGAGAAGAAAAAGAAAACCATACGTTTGTCCGTCAGCTGAAGACAGTGGACAGTGCAACACAGAGAAAGAAGAAAGAGAGAGGCACAAAAGGAGAGCAGTCTCGTGTCATAACCGAAGCGGTGTCGGGGTTGAGAGAGGGACAGACAACAGAGAGAGAAACGCACGCGGAGGCTGAAAGGAGCGTCAACAAGGTAAGGGCGCTTTGTAACGTGCACTGACTTAACTCTGTGCACCTCTGTACCACTGTTTGTGTGTCTGACAAAGAGAAGTCTATATTTTCAGGGCCACTGTCAGCTGGTCTTAATTTACACAAATAAGGTTGCACTAAGCAAGTATAAATCATTCATCTGTTTTGTGCTCTACAGAAATACATTTTTATTATTTGGGTTTGAGTTCAAGCATGTGGATGCCTGAGTGTGCTGCATCTTAATGAGGGATTTGTGGCCTGTGATTGATTGATTGACAACTATAAATATTGCATCTCTCATAAACTACATAGCTAATTCAATAACTAAAGATTCCTCTTTTCTCCTTCGGTTAAATTAAAAGGGGACAGCTGAACACAGCTCATGGGGACCTCAGTGAGAGGTGGTTGACAGGACAGGCCTTTAGGTGTGAGCTGGTCACGCTTTGCTGCAGGGCAGGACAGGGTTTTATGGCTTCATTGGCTTTCAGGAGAAGCAGGAGAGCCAGAGACAGTCAGTGAATCTAACAGAGGGTTTAGTAAACAATTGTGCATCAGTGTATGCACATTTGTTTACATCAGCAAATGTTCAGTATATCGTCAATAAATACTTGATTTAATTCCTTTGAATCAGGGACAAATCAGCATTAAAATTTTTCTATTAAGATATTTATTTTGTTGAGGAAAAGGGACTGAAAAACCAATGACCATCTGGTTTCTTCAACTTCCACTTATAGGAGCAAAAATCAGCCTTTAAACTAGAAAGAAATAATGATTTGACAATTATCGTGATAATTATCGTCATCGAATGTATGAAAATTTTTATTGTGATAAAATTTTTTGCCATCACCCATACCTAGTAAAAATGTTTTCTTGTTTTTTTTAATGTAAATGAACTAGATTCATTGGTTTGGGAGAGACATTGTTTAAAGTTTAACACTAGCCACTAGTCAAAAGCCTCTACCAACATGTCAAGGCCCTTCGCCTCTGCCCCTAAAACCTATTCGGCTGTGAAAAAAACCTGAGATTGCCTTGAGAGAGAGAGAAAGAAGACGCGCACACACACACACACACACACACACACGGCGGGTTTCCTTCACCTCAGAGACACAGAGCCAAATTCAATCTCCCAAAACTAGAAGTGATTCTTCATCCTGCTGGGTCTCAGAGTGGGCGTGTTGGAGGTGTTCTGAAGTGTTATTCTCATAAGCCTCTTAAAAGCTGTCTGGCTCCTGACCTCCTCTGCACTACAGTTTTTGTTTTATTTTATTTCCAGCGTGTGTTTTAAACATTTTTTTATCCTAGCACAGTTTTTAAAATGTATACTAAATCTCAAAGAACTGCCAACAATTGAGTATTTTGTTTCTTTCTTTTAAAGCACAATTTTTTTTCCCTTGGCAGCATTCTCTGATTCAAGCTTCTCAACTGGGACGATTTGCTGCTTTTCTTCATCATAGGCCATATCATTTTAAAATAAATATAGCCTATTTGAGTTTTGGACTATTGGTTGAAGAATGATGGGCATCTTGTCCACAATTTGTAAATTATGCTTTGTGGGATGCAGATGTAAAGAGAATAGAAACACACTGTAAAGCTTTTGTGGAATTGCTATAGATTATCCTAATACCTCTGCGAAATGTACAGCAGGCAACTTTTTTTTCCCCAAACGGACATTGGAATGAAATCATCCAAATATGTCAGATCAGCCATGTGGGTGGCATCGTAGGTGGTGGTGCACTACACACATACACACACACACACACAGAGTGGCGGGCAGATGGCATCAGCAGTGTGTCGGCGACCTCGCCCCTCTCCGTCTCCCTCTCGGGACCAAAATGAGTCTGGCAAACAGGTGGCGTTTGTGCGTGTGTGGAGAGAACAGTGACATGAGGTTAAGCTCTCCGAACACAATGTCACTATAATAAAGTACTACACTGACTTGACTGTAGATTGTGCCAGTGCCTTGTTTAGTAGTAGGATGAATATTCTTGTCACAATCCTCAAGATTTGTGAAGCAAAACGACAGAGAGGCAGAGACACCAGGGGCAAAGTTAACCAGCTGGAAAACTCAGTCGACGCATAAAAAGGACCATCAGTGAGGATTTTACTGTCGGCCATAAACCTTAAAGCTCTGGGATACACAGCATGAGGCATAAAGAAGAGGACGTGACTGTGAAATGTTGTCATGATCCAGCACACTCATGTGAGCACCAACAGCCAGGGGGGAAACCATGAGTAGAAACATGAAATAATGTTAAAAACCAATAGCAAAACAATAAAGAACACACAGCTGACAGTTCTACTGTGCTGCCATGAAGACCCTGCCAGCCGTCCTGCATCACAATATCACAATACTAGTGAGCCTTTAGGAGTTTTGTGGCAAACAAGGTCAAATATTTTTTATTAGAGTCCTTGAGATTCTGTCTATAAAAATGTCAATCGCAAGTTCCCAAAGACCAAGATGGCGTCTTCCACTTGCGTGTTTTGTCTGAACAGGTAACAAGACAGCAGGGTCAACATGCTAACATGCTCACAATGACAATGCTAACATGCTGATGTTTAGGTGTAATGTTTACCATGTTAACCATCTTAGTTTAGTGTTAGTGTGCTAACATTTGCTAATTAACACTAAACACAAAGTAGCCAACCAGCTGAGGCTGATGGGAGTGGCATTAGTTTTACTGGTATTTGGTCAGAAACCAAAGTGTCTGGAAAGTTGCTACGATTTATCATGAGGGGGACATGGATGTGTGAACCAAATATTATGGCAATCCACACAATATTTGTAGAGAGATTTCAGTCTGGGCAAAACTGACAAACTGACAAACTGATTGCATCACTCCGCTAACGTGGCTAAGACCCCCAAAGATAAAACACCACCATATGGCCGGAGGGAACCTTAAGTATTTAGACGATAGACTCAGAAAAAAACAGAAAGATGTTTGCTTTAAGCTCTTCTTAGCCTCTTGTAATTAGAGCGAGTTGGATGGAGGGAGGAAGAGGTGGAGAGAAAGAAGGTCAGGAACGTTGGCCAAGTGTGCAGGGAGGAGGGCTGAATGAAAGCAGGGAAAAGGGTGAGAGGATTTACCCCGAGAAATGTGAGCTTTGTTGCTCGAACCAAGTTTTCTCAATGGAGTGTGGTTGTGTGATAGCACAACAGACAGGATAAACACCTTTCATTTTAAGGCAAGGAAAGTGCTGGATTTTGAGTTTGTAATCCAGACATTAAGGTTATTCCCCTCTAAATTTAGAAATAATAATGTCTAGAGGACACTACAAAGGCAGGGAGGAGTAATTACAGAAGCAGTGGAGTTTTCAGTCTGGCAGTCAAACTGTGTAACAGATAAAAAGCTTCAGGGACACTGTCAGCTGGTTTTAATTTACACAAATAACGTTGCACTAAGCAAATACAAACCATTCTTCTGTTTTGTGCTCTACAGAAATAAGCATGTGGATGCCTGAGTGTGCTGCATCTTAATGAGGGATTTGTGGCCTGTGATTGATTGATTGACAACTATAAATATTGCATCTCTCATAAACTACATAGCTAATTCAATAACTAAAGATGCCTCTTTTCTCCTTCGGTTAAATTAAAAGGGGGCAGCTGAACACAGCTCATGGGGACCTCAGTGAGAGGTGGTTGACAGGACAGGCCTTTAGGTGTGAGCTGGTCACGCTTTGCTGCAGGGCAGGACAGGGTTTTATGGCTTCATTGGCTTTCAGGAGAAGCAGGAGAGCCAGAGTCAGTGAATCTAACAGAGGGTTTAGTAAACAATTGTGCATCAGTGTATGCACATTTGTTTACATCAGCAAATGTTCAATATATCGTCAATAAATACTTGATTTAATTCCTTTGAATCAGGGACAAATCAGCATTAAAAAATTTTGTATTGTAATTTCTTGGAATGCCTTAATTTTACGCATATTTCGATTAATTATTTTATTTCCCCAGAAAGATAGAGCTTACATAATTATAATGTCCTTTCAGCTTTCTTGACCATTTTAACTTGTTTGACTTTATTTCAACTATTCACAGTTCATAGTTCATATCTGTGGTGTTAATATTTATATTGAAATCTTTATATAAATTATTTCACAATTTAATAACTTACATATGTAATTTTATGCAGTTCTGACAGTGAAAGTAATTACATAACACCTTTGACAGATGCTTTTGACATATAGGCTCATTGGTGCTTCAGCTCTGGCAAACCAATCGTTGCTTGTTGAAGTAAAAACAGATCACTACCGGTTCACCAGCGCAGGAATGTCGTCAGAGACACCAGATTTAAAACATCTGTTATACTGCAAATACGGAGAGATTTACCTGCCAGTAATAGGCGTAATCAGTGTTGTGTGAACTTTTGTGGCCCGGGCTTGAATGTAAGGGCAGTTCGTTGATATGTAAAAGTCCTGTACTCTTTCCAGTACAGTTGAAAGCTGAGATGCCAGTTACTGCTACTCTGTGAAGCTAGGCAGCATTAGCATAAGCTCAGGCAGGGATATTTTTCTTCATCATGACTCGTTTAGTTATGTGGAATAATGAACTTCATTACCAAAGTGTTAATCAGAATGGATGTGTATTATTTACTGATAACAGCTGTAGAGAAACCACTTAGTACATTTAGTTTATTTAGTTTATTCTATTGTGAGATAGCTCATTGTGAAATTTTTCACATTTCTTGTTAGTTGTCCTTTACATATTTTTGCATTTTTTGAATTAGTATTATAGTATTATTATTTTGTATACTTATACATTACACATTTTTGATCCCCTCACTTTTTCTATATGTACATTTCTGTACTGTGGTTAACCCTAACCCACCATATTTTGTGGATGTTCTGCTACAGATCCGGCCCCCATATCCGATATAAAACAATAAACAAACATGAACAAATATTACCACCTTGGCTTATTTACTTAGCTGACAATGTGGTGGCCTATTCTTTTCTTTTGTATACAGATTTTATTAAAAATGTGCTGCTTTGCTCTGCCGAGTGGGTGAATGAAGGGACACTGCTGGTGGTGCGGCATTAGACTGAATCAATCTGGGGGTATTATTATATTATTATTGATGCCTGATTGATGGCTTGTGTCATGCTCCAGCAGTGACCCTGCATGCACAACATGTAATTACATGACCAAATAATACCAATGACACAATGTAGACCTTACATTTTAGGCATTTGTACAAAAATTAAGATATGTGTTCATTAGTGAGCTTTTGAGGTGCTGGTAGGTGGATTTTGTTACTTTTGGACCTAGCCACGCTAGCTGTTTCCCCTTTATGCAAAGCTAAGTGATCCGGCTACTGGCTCGAGCTTCATATTTGACAGAGTGGTATCAATCTTCTCATTTAACTCTTAAGCAGGAAAGCAAATATGTGTAGTTACTAAAATGTCAAACTTCCTTTAAGCAAAAGGCTGAATCAAGAGATGCAAATAGATGATTTATGGTCTGTTTCTCTGTCAGTAAGTTGTATGGAAAGTAATTTAATTCTCACGTTTGTAATGATGCCATCTTCATCCTTGGATGGATGGACTACACCAGCAACATGCAACACTCAATTATAATGTGTAATAGCTCTTTTCAGAGCAGCTTAAAAGCTTATTTTTCATCACCACTAAGCAGTGTAGGGCACAACTGATTGTATTGCATTTTAAACATTTTAAACATGGCTCCAACCAGGGCTTTATGAACAGTTGTTCCCAGCTAAATGAAGGTCTGTTTGTGTTGGGGCTGTTTATTCTAATTGCCTCCTTGGCATGATGCCATCCTGCCTTCAATAAGTTTTTTTTTCCTTGGCAGCTGGTATGTTTTCACCAGCCCAACAGGGGAAAATGTGACCACGAAGTGACAGAACATGACAAAGAATTACCACAACACAATTGTAAAATCACTGTTTTGATCAAATTGTCAGAATATTTGACAGAAGATGACAGAAGAGAACAAGGAAAATGTAGTTTCTACCAAGGTAGAGATGTTCCCATCTTGTATTCATAGACAAACTCTCTTGGTCATAGGTGATTTATGTGAATATAATCAGCAATAACACGACGCTGGCATATCCATTCATCTGTCACAACAGTAAATAAATGTGACAAGGGCTTGACAGCTTGCTACAATGCCAACTTGCGGATCAGGTGCTTCTAGCTTTTGTTTATGGACGTCAAGCGTGTGTTTGTGGTAATTGTGGATGTCTAAGAATGAGCCAGAAAATGCTGCAAGATTGTTTTATAATTTCCATCTCAAAAGAGATGTTGCTTCCAGACTTTCAGTCTGTTTTTCATAGTCTGCTCCACACATATTTCTTATGTGGCGTCCAGCCAAGTGTAACGTGTTGAAATGAATTTCTTTGTGTCTCTAACTTAATATTTGTGTTTTTAAACCAGTAAATTATCCTTTACCAATAATGGAGTACCCTGTAGTCCTATAAGTTATATAATTTTATTTATATATATAAATTGTGTTGTATAAAGTGAGCAAGGAACTTTTGACAATATTCGTCGCTGTCAGCCAAAGCTGAGGGAGGAGTAGGATTTACTAAGAGATCAACAGTGTTAAAGAGAAATCTAGGATTGTGCTTGTTGGTAGTGATAAGAGTAGATAAAAAGTGTGTCTAGTGTTTTTTCACCATGGTATTATAGCAGATTAAAAGTTCTTTCATAGCTATGAAGTGTACTTGGAGACCAGATTTCTTCCATCTGCGCTCGGCTTTTCTACATTCCCGTTTACAATTTCTAATAGTGTCATTTAGCCAAGGCCGGTGAGCAGATTTTGTGTTAGGTTTAGCTTTCAGGGGGGCTATAAAATCTAAGGTGGATGAGCATGAAGAATTAAATGAATTAACTACGTTAATTGTAACACAGTCAATTGGGAACGATTTGATGTTGATTTAAAATTCGTGTGCACTTTGGCTGGGGTTTGACAGTGTTAGGTGTCAGCATTTCACAGAAGAACATAAGTTTGTGATCAGAGACAGGCAAGTCCATAACTTAGTTTCAGCATTTGCACTTCAAAAGTAGAGAAATCATTACAGAGAATGTGGTTACACTAGAGATGCTTCTTAAAGACACTTATCAGACCGCCACCACGACCACTCTCCCTTGGATGACTGAAACAATCATACTCTGGAGAGCACAGTTCGACAAGCAGGCTGTGATCCCCAGGGCATAACCAGTTATAAACATAAAGTCTAAATCAGTTGAAGTGATAAGATCATTCAGAATAAAGGTTTTGTTCGAGAGGGAACGTACATTTATAAGGGCCATCTTTAGTCGTTTGTGCAGGGTCGTGGCTGGCATTGACATTGGAGCAGAGGATTTCAGGAATCATAAGACTCTCTAAAACGGCCCTGTGCTGATACAACAATGTTGTATTGAAAGGATTATAGGTGGGAGTACTAGCGTCTAGTGTCTATCCACAAGGGGGAGTTAGAGGATGTATACTCTGTGTATGTATATGCATATGCATATGCCTATCCCACCCACAGATGTGTGCTCGAATCCTCCCACCTACACAGCCAGCAGTTCCAGGAGCAGTTACAAGGTTAGAGCAGGGATACAGCAGGTGTGCTGGAAGAATCAGGCAATAATCTAACCAATGCAGTACTGTGTTAGGTGAGATCCTCACTTTAATGTATAAAACGTAATAACATAATATCAGCTCCCTTTTTATTGGTGAATGTGAGTTTGTTTTCCTCTTGGGAAATTATGCTTAAAAGTAAGGTGATGCTAAAAAAACTGTTCATGATTCAATTGAAATCAAGGGCAGTGTTTCATTTTGTCAGAAGTCGCTGGCAAAGTCATGTTTTCGTCTGATGTTTTATGAAATATTTTCATCTGCCAGTGAACTAAAGCATTCACTGTATAGTTTTGGTATTCAGGGTCACCAGGTTTTTATATAAATTGTCACAAAATAGTGAAAAACAACCATCACAGTTTCCCAGAGCCCAAGCTGACACCTTCACACTTTTTTTTGTTATATAATTTACAATGATCAACAAAAGCAGTAAATCCTCGAAATGTAGAAGCTAAAATCAGAGAATCTTTGGCATTTTTGCTTGATACATCATGTTATCTAGGTCGTTTATTTATCATTATACAACACACAAGGTTGTACAACAAAAAGAAAGTTTGTTGAGGCTTCATTCTACACACATATAACAGATAATTACATGTACGTTAGAATAGGGTCAAATAAATTTAAAAAACAGTATTTACATTTGTATACATGTATACATACAGGTATACACCCAGGAAATAATTCTGCAGTGCATTTTAAACAGCAGCAATAAGATCCAGTCCAAGTGAATAATGTGGCACAACTCAAATACCAGTTAATCTAATCTGCCAGACACGTCAAACGTAAACACACTGGGAGAGACATTGGTGCTGTAGGGTTGCCATTGTGACAAACAAGGTGATGGATCCTATTGGACAGATGTGGTCAGTGCAATCTCAGTTTTAAATGAATGCTTTATGCCTCAGTAATGAGCAGCTATTAATTGTATTGAAACTTCAGCTCAGTAATGGGTTGATTCATCACTGTCAAAGCCTGGATGGCCGGTTGCCCTTTTCAAAATGTGTTTACACTCAGAAGTCATTTTAAATGAGAAATTATACGCTTTACTAAGTGAGCTCCAAGGCACTGAAGTGTGTATGTAACCTCACTCTGCTTTCTAATGGCATCACAAGAGGTCAGGTTTTTGCTTTTAAAGTCTTGTGGATGTATCAACATCCCTTTTTCTGTAGCTTCTGCCAGCAGCTGTCACAATATGTGTCTCAAATGTAATTCTTATGTGCAAGCCTGTGTCATTTAGATGTATCTCTGTGGAGCAAAACAATTCAGAATTCTGAGGAAAAAATCAAAATTGTGAGGAAAACCCTATTTTATGAGAAATCTTATATCTGCATTTTTAAAAAGGGGATTCTTCTACGAGTCACAATGTGTTTTATTTTCCATTCCCAGCTGTGATTTTTCACCTTGGCCATACGAGAGGAACAGAAGGAGTCCAGTGGAGAGATTTCACTAGCTTGGTTTTCCCTCCCTCCCTGTTCTCCCCTTCTCTGCACCCTCCCGGCTCCTCTGAATGATTGAAGCCATGCCCCTCGTTTCTGCAAGCACAGGTACAATCAAACATATGCTCAAGCTACTTCTTCATTCTCTCTGATGTGTTATACTGTATATATATGATTATAAATAATGCAAGTGCTAATATATCAGGCAGATATTACTGGAGCATGTTGTATAATATATAGTAATTCTATATTCTGTAATAAATGTTATTTGTAAATCACTTTTCTGAACATCAAACAACATAAACACAAGAATAAAATAAGGTTAAAACTGTAAAACAACAAGAGTGGGGACAATACAATCTAGCCAACATATTAAATATTCATAAAAACTTCCCTATAAAGGAAAAGTTTTAAGAAGGGATTTGAAATCTAATAACACCTAATAAGATAGACTCGCACAAAAATAGGTCTGGTCACCTTTAGTCACAAGCCAGGATCTAGGAACAACCAGAGAGCTGATCTCTATGATGCCCAGCCACAGAGGGAGTCAATAATTCCTTTTATAGAATTTGTAGCAAAGCCATTTAACGCTTAAAAGTGATCAATAAAATTTTAAAACCAACACATAAAAAACACAGGCAGTCATGTGTTTATATTCGGGCAGCAGCATTCTGCACCAGTCGGTGAAGCGAGCTCTGACTGATGCCACCAAAAAGTGCATTACAGTAGTCCAGGCAAGGGGGGAAAAAGCCTGTATAACCTTATGTAAATCAGTTGGAAACAAAAATCTGAAATCTAATATCTAATTGAGCTGCAAGAACCACGACTGATGAACATTCTTCACTTGAGCATTTCACTTGAAACAGATATCTGAATCAAATATTTCTAGGATTATTGCAGCTTGCTTTCTATTTTTAACGAAAGGGAGCCGAGTTTGCTGTGAACCAGGCTGGTAGAATTTTCTGGACCAATAGCCATGATCTCAGATTTATCGTCAATGTATTTTTAAAAAGTTTTGCGATATCTAGCTTTTTATGCAATGCTTTTATTACTGTAATGATAATGATGGAAAAGCTTCTATTTTAAGTTTCAACAGTGGCCAGATTATTATTTTTTTATAGTTCATGATAGAAAATTGGTGGATGGGTGATACATAACTCTGCTGCTCCTGGGTTTTATGATCTATAGGGCTGCATGAGACTCTGGCCCTGCTCACCTCTCAGCTCCACCCTGATGCCAACCATAAAGAGGACCTGGTCTTCCTCAAAGACGTCTTCAGTGAGAAAAGCCTTGGTTACCTCATGAAGGTACTGAGGATATGTCTGAGAAGATGTGACTACTTGAAATCAGGATTTCTGGTCTGGCTGTGGGACATTAATTGGTCACACACTGTGTTAAAAACAAAGAAGGGTATCAGAACTTACTGATACTTTTGTCTCTCTAGAGATATAATCTTTAAAACTACATTTAATCAGCTTACCACCAAATGTCATGTAAATAAGTCCCCCTCTGTGTGTGTATGTATGTGCATGCATACACGTCTTGTCATTTGTTGTACATCCCAGATCCATGACAAATTGAGGCAGTATGAGAAACACAGCCCGACTCCAGTTCTACACAGCGCCTCCTGTCTGGCAGAGGATGTAGGTGCAATCTTTCCTCAATATTTCAAAGCCAAACTGAAGCTGAATATTAAATAGTAAAAAAAAACATGTTTAAGTAAACATTTATTGTAATCAAGCAAAGGCAATTTATTTTATAAGGACATGTCAAAATATTAGATTTTCTGATTCAAATCATTAGTTGGCCGAAGAGCTTCAGAGTGGAGCGATGGAGGACGATGAGAGAGAACTGCTTCTCCTGTTGAGCACTCCTCACCTCAAGGTGCACACTCACACATACATTCTCTCTTTACTCAAACATGCACAAACTAATGAATGATTGACAGCGTCTCTTTCCTTTCCCATTTATCCTCTAAGTTGATCATCTGTTACACAACACCAGCGTCAGAGCTGTCTGAACCCCTTCCCCCATCCCCTAGACACAAGACAAGACTGCGTAATTACTCTTATCAAGTGATTATGTTCGAATTATTGGCTTTCTGGGGAGCAGGCAAGAGATGACGGCTGTGAAACCGGAACGCTCATATGTACAGGCAGTCACTGAAGGAGATGCTATTCCTCCTTTTTTCTTTGTTTCTTTTCTCCGTGACTTTGCTTTTCTACATAATCCACTGCTTGTCTCTGGTGTATTGTTTTCTTTCCTGCTGTCTTTATGGTGGTCATTGTTCAAGCTCTTTAATCTTACCCTCCTGTGCATTTGTCTGTGTATGTTTTCATAAAGGCGGTGCTGTCGGCCCACGACACAGTGGCCCAAAAAAACTTTGACCCCGTGTTGCCGCCAGTGCTGGAGGATCTGGATGACGACCTGGAGGAAGAGTCTGTCAAGATTGTCCGCCTGGTGAAGAACAAGGAGCCCCTAGTGAGTGCCTCATCCCACCTGAACACATAACAAAATGAAAGCTCTCCCTTCCCTCAACAGCTGATTCCTATGCCCTCAAGTGAGGCTTTATGACTCCATTTACTTTAATGGTGCAGCTTTGAGGCTTTAGAGAGCTCCAGGTTGTGAATGTCTGTTCCTCTCTGTGATGCTATAAAAAACTCCATTCTCAAGGAAATCCTTCAATGAAAGGACAAAACATTGATTTTGTGTTAACTTGTCAGAGACACTTGTTGAAGTGACATAAACTGCACAACTTAATATATTCTGAGTCAAGTTAGATCCAAAGGTGACAAAAATTTGGAAGTTTAATGCCAGTGATTCTACCTGCTGCTTTTCTTCTGTCACATCAATACCACCTTATTACTGTACGCTGCAGACGTTGCAAACGTGAATAGAATCTGTACCAACTAACCGTACAAGCACCTCCTAAAGCTCACACTTGACACATAATTTCATGCAAAAGCCACCGTACTGCACACACGGAGCAGCTTTTTACCAGTCTAGCAGAAGATTGTTTCAGTTCAGTGACTGAAGATTAGATGTGGAAATCTAATCTATTGTTATTGCGCCTTTTCCACCAGGGAGCGACAATCCGGAGAGACGAGGCGACGGGAGCTGTAATTGTGGCCAGAATCATGAGGGGAGGAGCAGCTGACCGCAGCGGTGAGACAAACAGCATTCACACATACATCATAATGCAAATGTCAGTTGTATTCTTCTATTTCTCTGAAAAAAATGAATGGAGAAAATAATCTGAAGTGTAATCATATTTTTTCCTTATGTGGAACCAACCGGATTCTCTTGTGTCTGCTGATATGCAAACGAGAAGTGAGGAGATTATGTTGTGTAACCCCATGAACTGTCAACAGAGATCAAATCCTTGAGATTAGTGCCACGAGATTGCATATTTTGAGATTACAAACCAGGGTTGCTTCTGGCTGTTGCCATGGAGATGTTATTGACTTAAAGCCAACAGAAAATTGTCTTTTTCTTTGGTTCATATCTGCGCATCACTAAAAATACTCTTGCTGCTACTACTTAGTGCTACTTCATGTACTGGAATTTTTCTTTATTTTCTTTGTTTTTGAAGGGTCATTTTCAGTTGCCTTGTTTTGAGGGTGTGTGTTGTGTCATGTGTTTCCAGGTCTGGTGCATGTAGGGGATGAGCTTCGAGAGGTCAATGGAAACCTGATAACCCATAAAAGGCCAGATGAAATTAGTCAGATCCTGGTAAAGTAAACAAGCTTTTCCACATAGCATCATACTTGTTCAGATACTGTATGATCACTGTGGATGCAGTGCATGATGTTGCTGCTCTGTTGTTTTTGATCAGTCCCAGTCACAAGGCTCCATCACACTGAAAATCATTCCAGCTGTTGCAGAAGAAGACAAGCTGAAGGAAAGCAGGGTGAGGACTCCTAAAGATGTATAATACATGTCTAACAGATTTATTCATTTTCCAAATGAAAACATTGTGTTGCCTGTTCTTACTGATGATTTGCACCCACTCACGTTGATAATCTCATTAGAAGAAGCAAAATTGATCGCTTGATAAATGTATTAAAGGATGTCACATTGATCGATTAATTAATCTCACTAGCCATTCATTTGGTACAAGCCAGCTGTACCTGGGCCTTATACATAAGCTGTCTCTGTGGGCCCCCTTCCTCTCTTGATCCATGTCTCTCACTCCTCTTTTGAAATATTTACAAATAATTGATCCAACAGCTTTAGACATGAAGCTGCAGTGGTTATTATGGTAGTCACTAATGCAGGGCTGACCCTGAATAGTCGAAGATTCGATGCTTTGATGGGAGGAGCCTAATTCGACTGCCAATCTCACAGTCGAAGCTTCGCAGCAAAACAAGGATCATGCCATTTTGGCGATATGGGGGTGCTCAAAGTCTGATTTTACATAGAACTACCAGTTTTCTCCCAATTAGTTAATATACAGTACTACTACTACTTGAAATAGTAGTTGAAAATCTTGCCACAATTCAACCCTCTTTTCTCAACATACTGTAGCCTTCAAGTACTGTGTGATATGTTTGGTTTGTTTGGAGAAAATGATTTTCTGCGACACCTCAATGTCAAACGATTGCTTGCAATAACTTTTACAAACTGAGGGTTCATGTGGTTCATGATGTTGATAGATATAATGTCATGACATTGATGCTGATTTATTTATGAATTGGATTAATTTATGTTATACAATGCAAATACTGTATGCTTCAAGCTAGATTCCTGCATGAGTGCCTACAATCTAAATAACTGCTGTCTTGGTTATGCTTCCTGTTCTTTTGAAACACATTAGTCAAAAGCAGTTTTCCCTCAGTTAGCTTTCTTTCTCTTTCCTATTCTTTTTTGCTAACCTGATTTCCCTTTCTTGGGGAAAGACATACAGTGAACATTGGTGCTACAGCATCAGCGATCATCTTGATTAGCTGCATTTAGAGATGAATCCTGGTGCTGGGGCAGACTCAGGCGCGCGGGAAAACAAGTTGGCTTAGGTGTTCTGCACAGTAGAAGTGCAAGCATGACACGACTGTGTGTGCACGCACTTGCACACTTTCCTTCAACACAGAGTGGTTACAAGCATGGTCGTATGAGGTCACCAATGTCCGGACCTCCATAATTATATTTATGTGTGTATAAATAAAATCATTCGAATAAAAACCAGTGATAACACAATCAACTTAAATGAAGGAGTAAATCAGCCGTCCTCCTGCTCAGTTCTGAGCTCTATTAGTGCATCTAAATTTTTAGATGCTAAATGTTGAATTCTGTTTCTTCTGCAGAGTTTCCTCTGTCCTGTCCTGTCAAGTTTATAACTACAGTTTTTAGTTTTGCTGCATAAATGTTCTACGGTGCTCTGACATTTCTGTGCCCATGTAAATGTTTAAAATGACTGACATCAGCCTCTCTAATCATGAAAGTAAACCGTTCAAGAAAAGAAGAAAACTCATATATCAACACAATAAAGAAATCACCTGGAACGTTAAAAGTACCGGTAGAGGTGGGATAAATCTGAGAAAATAATTAGTTGGATTGGGACAGGTGGATGATTTGTGCGTACATGATTCAGATATTGTAAGACAATTCGCGCATCACACCAATGTAGCTCCTATAATCCTGACAAAACGGTACAAACAGCTTCTGACGTCAAATTATTAGGCTATAATATTAAGAGCATCCACTGCATTAAGCACTAACCTGCTGTATTTTATGTTGTCATATAGTAATAATAGTGCCCAAATTATGAAGTCTGCACATGTAATTTGTTCCTCGCTGTCAACAGACATGCTCGGGCAGACTAAACTATTTTGTGCCTTTTACAAGAGTTAAGAGGGGCCTCAGCAAACCTCCAGAATTCTTTCTTTTCTTTTTATACAAAGTTCAGTCTCTGTTTTATTCAGCCGATTTTATTTTATTTTGACAATTTTAATTGATTGAATTAATAAAAATTTCTTAGCATAAAAACAGGAGAGAACCGCTTGGCTGGGCCGTTGTCTGAAACAAGCATGAACCTCAGGTTCTGTAAAATGAAGACAGTGCCTTAAATCTGCATGCTGTCTAGTAGCCAGCAGGGGGCACCTCCACTGATTTATTACCACAGTAAACACTTTCCTAATGAGTTTATGGTTTTAATCACTACTTTGAAGTCTCCTTCAATAGCGCATGAAGTTCATGGTCCCATTTAGAGGAAAATAGATTATAGGGTATGCTTTAGGGCGTGTCTACCTTGTGATTGACAAGTTGCTACCACAGTGACCTGTTAGGTGTAGCAATGCATATCCCTTCCCTGCTCCACTTTCTCATCCAAATATGGCTATTTCTGGTTCCAAAAAACCAAGATGGTGATGGCCAAAATGCCAGCCTCAAGTTTAAAACGGTAGTCCACAAACCGTGACGTCACAGTGGCTACGTCCACTTCTTTCATATAGTCTATGGTCTGAAGCTAGCACAATCCACCTACCAGCATGTCTAAGGGCCGGATTATACTCGATCAGAACTTACTCGTAAGATGTTTTGTCAGATCAAGTAGGAAATCAACTGTTTCTAGTTGTTATTTATCCATCTGAGAAGCATACTGGAGGCTTCAAGTTCACCTATTGTCATGTTTGTTTAGTTGGTACAAAAACCAAAGAGGAAATTCAACAAGATATGGTTTTATGGGGGGTTATGGGGTTATGTGACTGGGAGTAGTGACTTGCTTTATATTTAATGGACAGAAATGACAGTGGTATGGATCTTATCATCTAACTCTGCAACAAAGCAAATACTTGCATATTTTCTATCAAACTTTTCTTTTTAAAATTACCATCACTAACAGAATATTCCTGCTCCCTAAAGGTCTACCTTCGTGCTTTGTTTGACTACACACCGTATGAAGACAAGGCTACGCCATGCCAAGAGGCGGGACTTCCTTTTAAGAGGGGGGACATTCTTCAAGTTGTTAGCCAGGAGGACGCTACCTGGTGGCAGGCCAAGAGGATGGGCGACTGTAACTTGCGTGCTGCCCTCATCCCCTCTACACAGTTCCAAGAGAGGTAGTGATCATCAACTCTGGTGTCGAATAGAATTTGAAAATGTCTGATTAGGCCGCCTTTTTCAGATCAGAAAGAAATCTTTCCTCTATTGTTTTTATTTTTCTTCCCAGGCGCCTGAGATACAGGATGAAAATGGGCTCTTTCCCTGCCCCTGTGCCCCCCAAAGCTCCTACATGTAAGGCTATTTCACTGCTGCAATCAAAAATTGTTTCCCATAACCTTCAATGTAACTAATATAGAAGAAGCTTAGATATACAGACAAAGCTTGTTTTGACTAAATGTAATCCAGCCATGGAGGTACACAAAGAGAGATTATGAAAAGAGAACAGGGGATCTGAGGTTAATCTCTCTAAAAAAAAAATGTAAAAAACCCCTAAAACAATCCATCCATCGTTTCATTTCTTAATCCAATTTAAAAGTAAAATGAAACAAAGTGGTTTGAAAACCTACAGGTGGTAGTTAAGTCAGTTATTTTCTTGTATCTACTCTATCTGCATTATAGCTAAACCCCCTAACTCTCACTAAGCTTTTAAAAAATATGTAGTAGAAATGCTGAAATAGGATTGTTTGGAAAGGTTTTGCTCTTTGGACTGAATGTAAAACATGTTGAATACTTTTTGTTTATGAAGAATACTGATTTATGTAAAAGCCCCATCTTCTAAAGACTTTCTTTATTAAATGCAAATATTTATAATAAAATAAAGCAGATAGACTGGCACAGATGCAATTTATAAATGCCATTTTAAGTTTTCTAGTGAATTTGAGAAAGGGGCAGAACATTACAGTACAGCAGTTGTCTTATTCTATAACTCTGTATAGTGATACTTTGTGTTATTCCTTGCATTGCTAACCTCAGATGATCGTGCTGAAAGAGGTACGTGGACAAACCCTCATGTCAGAATAGGGTTAGCCTAACCCTAAATAATGCTACACTTCTCCACAATGTATCCCTCTCCTTTTTTATCCACTACAAATACCTTTATACCCTTTAAAATCTTAGTAATGTGTTGCAATGAACCTGCTGTGTTATATAAAGTACCCCTCACATCAACCTCCCCCCTCTTACCCTGTCTTCTCTTCCTGCACACCATCCTACAGAAGACTGTGACAGTGAGGGTGCTCTGAATGGAAAGGACATAGGTGAGGAGGCACAATCAATAAGTTTATACTAACCACTGCAACATCACATTTCTGCTCAATCTGTGTGCTAATCCATCCCTTCTCTTACAAACTACTTGTTGTGTTATTGTTTTGATTGAATGGTTAGGACAGGTGTAAGCTTAAAATCTGGATTAACTGGTTCATTATTTGAACTCCTTGCCAGATTTAACCCCTCACCTCAGCCTTAAATACAGAAAACCATTCACTACCAAAGACTTGTTTCTTCACGCTTGACCTGATCTACTGCTGCTTCACAGCTCAGTTAGCAATCTTAACACTTTGTTCACCAGGCTTCCCGGCTGCTCTTATTGGTTTAATGTGACTGTGCTTCTATGGGTTCTTTGGGCCTAAAAGCATTATCACAGCGGTTTTGACCTGGCTGGGCCTTATTTTCACGTCTTATTCCATCAAACAGATTGACTCCTGTCAAAGTCTCAGACACACACTCGTAAACATTTAAGTGGTTGCTTCATTCTTTTCAGCATGCTTAGTGAAAAATAAAGGAGGTCATGAATGAATGTAAGAATGACTCATTACATAATATGCGGTATAGCATTCATACAGCATTTATAATGCACTTTTATTAAGTGTTACAAAAGTTTGATAATAATATATAGACCGATTGATTTATTTTTAGCCATGCTAGCAGCATAGCTCTAGGGATGGCTCTGTCGGTCGGTCCAACACTTTAGTCCAGACTGAAATATCTCAACCACTACACCAGGGATTACCATGAAATTTACTTTAGACAATCATGTTCCCCAGAGGAAACAACCTAATAACTTTGGTGATCCCGTGACTTTTCCTGAAGCGCCACCATCAGCTCAAAATGTCATACTTGTTAGCATGCTAACACGCTAAACTAAGACGATGAACGTGGTAAAACTTACCTGGTAAACATCCATCTGAGCATGCTATGTGAAAGCACAACTGTGTCTAATGAAAGCCTCACAGAGCTGCATAGCCCTGTTTAAGCATTTGCTTCATTAGCAGCATCAACAGGCAAGTAAACAACAAGTGCCTCTACAGTGACACAATTGTGATGAATTTGATTTGAATTTGATCTGTTAGATGGACAAAGATGTGGACTTCTGCTTTAACAGTCACTGATTTTTCTTTATTCTTAAACACATCTGGTTTGATTAGTGTGTTTGTGGGTGGATTTTCATTCCCTTGCTTTGTATTAAAAAAAGCTCACCGTGTGTGTGTGTGTGTGTGTGTGTGTGTGTGGACTTGTTAGTCTAGCGGGCTTTTTGTGCAGTACGCTACAGCTACGAGCTGCTCGCAGTGTCTTCATGGCCTCTCCTCACGCTACATGCTTAAAGTGCTTTGTTAGTGTTTGGTGAAGAGGTACACACAGCATGCATGGCTTCCAAGCTTCTGTTCTGTTGATGAGATTTAAGCTGATTGAATAACTGGTCTAATATGAGCTGTAGTTTCTCCCAAGAGTAAGGCAGCCCTTGCCTTCTGTGGCCATGCTTTCTCATGGGATTTTTACTCAGGTACTCTTAATGATTTCTAATGGTGTTGTTCAGCGTGTCTGTGTTGTGTGATGTATGGCACAGGATTTTACATGTAATCAGGCAGAGTGTGAAATACTCTATAGGCTTTGAGAGGGTTTATTGTGTGGATCTCAGCCTATCTTACATTTGCATGTCTTTTACCACAGCCGGACTGCGCAGAAGTTTCCGCCTCAGGAAAGATCGCCAGTGTTCACCAGGAGAACCTTGCACTCCTGATGCCAATAACACAGAGTTCCTGATTTATGAAGAAGTAACACAATATCTGCCCCGCCCTGGTGAAAGGCCTCGTCTTATAGTACTGATAGGTAGGTTAACTGAAGAAACTATTGAATATACTGGTCATTTTAGAAAAGTGGTTTCTCTTAGTTACACAAGGCAAGACATTTATGTATTGACATCTCTTACCACCATAAATGTAAAGAGTATTTCCTTTAAATAAGACCTGGTTCTGTCGCATTAAAAGAAGTGGAATCAGGTGTTTTCTGAGAGTGGTCCTTCTGCATGCAGATATCTTTCCTCAGCACATGATCATCTTTTGTATAACTGTCTGTTCAGTTATTATTCTGTTATATATTATACGATCACAGGTTCCCTGGGAGCTCGGATCACTGAGCTCAAACAGAAGGTGATCGCTGAAAATCCTCGACGTTATGTTTTGGCTGTGCCTCGTAAGTCTTTTTTGCTTTTTATTTTTCTGTGTCTGAGATGTGTTTGATGCACATGTTTACATACCATACACAGGCTCTCACTCACATATCCATATAATAAGGGTACAAAACACAAACTCAAGAATTGTATAACTTGTGCATGAATCAGTGCAGCATGTAGCATAAAAAAAGATCAAGTCACTATGAGTTTATATTATTTAGTTAAAGGATCATCAATTAATGACTGTTAACCTAGAGTTGCTTACAGTTACTTCCTTCATCAATTTAGATGCTAATAAATTAGCTGGAGTCCAGTTACATAGAAAAGATCATTTCAGGCCGAGTTTGATGAAAACAGCTTCATATCTGTGAGAATCTGTACCGCTCTGCTTACAGAGAGACTGATTAAATGCATGGGTCTGAAATCGTTGACTTGTGCATTAGTTATGCATGTTTTGTAACCTTATACATATAAACACTCAGTAATTATCACCCTCACCCTGTCTTCCTGCTGGCTGTGTTTGAACATGTGGCCCGAAGACACTACTCGAGCCAGGAAGAGTCATGAGAGAGAGGGAGTGGAGTACCACTTCATCACTAAAGCTGCTTTCGAGGCAGACATCCAGAATGGCAAGTGAGTATTGGATACTGAGTACAAAATCTTGTCAACCAAAAAATGATGTGCTACAAATGGTTTACTCTATATTTAATAAGAAATGGATTAACTGAAGCCTTCCGAAGTGTGTTGTTACTTGTTGTTACCGATCTGTTCAGCCAGTGCCTAATACATTACAGTTCAGTGCCTGAATGATTCACGATGGTGCTGTATTTCTGCAGATTTATTGAATATGGGGAGTATAAAGACAATCTGTATGGAACCAGTTTGGTGTCTATTCAAAAAGTATTGGATCAAAACAAGGTCTGTCTGGTGGATGTGCAACCAGAGGTAAGTATCTAAACTGACACGCAGCAACCAAACACATTTTCTGTTACATTTCTTAGATCTATCTGTCAACATTAAATCACTAATCAGGACCAAAAATATCAAATATGTTTTGTCTAAATGGTCACCTCCATTTTATTTTATGAAACTTGGATGGCTGCAACTTACATTCAGTCTCAAAGTCCCTGACAGTTCGTGCAGAATGCAGCAGAAAGGATTTCAATTAGTGCAGAAGTCGTACTTTTCAAATTAGCATCACTAATCTGACAGTTAAATTAGAGTTGCTAATATTTTACTTGTCACATTTAAAGCATGACTAAGTCTGCATTCAGTCTAGAAAGTGGAGCAGTTCACTGTGAACTGAAGGGTGCTTTCAACTAACTCGAGTTTTATTGGTTTTTATGATTTTTCTTCCACACTTGGACTAACATTTTTAGATCTTGTAAACTGCTTTTATGAGGAATTTAGGGTGTCATATAAAGAATATCGTCACTAATAACTTACATTTGGTAGTTTGTGCTGTATATGAAATCCTATTCAATCTTACTGTTTCCCCCCCACACACACGCATTCAGGCACTGAAGACTCTACGTACCGCTGAGTTCAAACCGTATGTCATCTTTGTAAGGCCTCGCATCTGTGATAGTCAGAAGAAACCGCTTGGCTCCTCTTCCTCCCTCAGCTTAGCCATCACGGTGAGTTACATGAACACACTGCCCACAAGAAACTTGAATACCTCGAATAACCTGTGTACGTATTAAAACACGGCTCTGAATCAGCATCTCTCCTCCCTTGTGCTGACAAGGAGGAAGACTTACAGGAAATGAAACAATCAGCCAAGCGGATGGACGAGTGCTACGGCTGTTGGGTGGACTATATGTTGGTAAAGGAGGACCCAGTCAGTGCCTTAGCTGAGCTCCAGGTCGTACTGGAGAGGGTGCAGATGGAGCCTCAGTGGGTGCCTGTGTCCTGGGTGAGGAGCTAGCCTGCTCGGACTTCATTGGTTCAGATTGGATCAGCTGACCCCTGCATGTAGAGGACAGCTTCTGATTGATGGATTGATCCAGTGTTTACTGCCATACTAACCATTCCACAAATACAGGTCTGTGATAGATGGCCAAGTTGAGTCAGAATCATAAATGAACATCTGCAAAGACTGAAAGCTGCTTTTTCCATAACTCAGAACATAAAGCCTTTGTTTTAGATTCTTCAGTGTAAAATGGCACTATATTTCAACTTCACGGCGGCAGTATAACAGCTCTGGCTGGCATGTAGTACAAAGATCTGCAGCCAGTATGATTAATTATGAGACGTCTACTGTAATAGTGCCATATCGTGCAGTTAAACAATATAATTTTAAAATGAGCAAATAAATCTGCTGACCATCTGCTCATGCTGGAGGCTGTCCTCGTGTTACCTGACTTGATAAAAAGTCTGAATTAAAAAAGAGAAATGTGTTGAATTTGTCTGTTGGCGCTGCTATTTGAAGACATTTAATTACTCAGAAATAAAGCTCACAAGCCATCCAGTATTATTTGGTTGAAACCATTTACTTTAGAATGAGTTATGTAACAATTATAAACCAAACCATAAACAAAAGAAAGGAAATATACATATGTGTTTGCACTGTGTGCAAGAATACACAAGGCCTTTTTACTTCCACAGCTTCTTGATCGACATGTTCTTCTCGTTGTCTTTCTGCATCACCTGATGAAGAGAACAGGGAACAGTCTTAATAGGCTGGTACTGGTACTCATACTCATCATTCGAGTATAAGAATGAAACTTGACGATAATGAGGTGAGGGATTAATGAATTTGAAATAATTGGAAGGATAGCCCTTGACATTTGGCATCTCATTTTCAGCGGAGTCCTAAATGGTCATCTTTATTGTAAGCAGTGGTTTGAAAAAGGCTCTGAAAATACAACAGATACTGAGCCAAGACACAGTGCGAGTGAATGGTTATACAAACCTTCGCCACAGCCATCTCAAAGTCCTCCTGGTTGACATGAACTCTCCTTTCTCTCAGAGCATACATCCCTGCCTCTGTGCAAACACCCTGAAAAACAAAGACACAAGACAATTAAAAACAGACCTGCTGTATATTACCTTCATTCACCCAGCTTCCACCATTTAGCGGACCAATTCTCACCTTAACTTCAGCACCAGAGGCTCCAGGCATCAGCTCTGCAATCTTCCTCAAATTAATGCCACGCGTTAGGTTCATCTTCCTGGAGTGGATCTTCAGGATGTCCAGACGGGCCTATTGGTACAAAATAAAGATAAGCTCAAACAAACAAAAAAAGCACAGCATGTACAAGTGTGTGTATTTACTGCACAGGTGACTACCTCTTCATTTGGAGGGGGGAACTCGATCTTCCTGTCGATCCTGCCTGGCCTGAGCAGAGCCGAATCCAGGATGTCAATACGGTTGGTGGCCATGATGACCTGAGAGAGAGAGTCAGTTTTAGTCACATTAAAACAAAGCAAACTGACATTGTTATTAATTAGTGTACTTGAATTATTAAGATATATGATAATGCTTTTGTACTGTGTTGAGAGCAGTTCCCACCACGAGAAAGCATTTTGCGACACAGGCAAGGAAAGACTCCCTTTCAGGAGGTCAATGGTTACAAGAAAGAGCAACAATTTTACATATCTGGCATTTATAATTTGTATATAAAATTCAATAAATTGTTTAACTAATATAGTCCAGACTGAAATATCTCATTAACACTAATATACTACTGAATACTAATACTACTAAAGATATATGGTTAAAAGTGTTTGTCAACAAATGTCACTCCTACTACTGAAAAGCACCCATAAGGATGCTGGTAAATATGAATGTAACAGTTGTAATAATGTTAATTATGTGTTCACAGAAGAAGTTATACTTGTTGAAAATACTGTAAATAATACAGATAAAATGTCCTGTCATCTTATAACTGTATTAGGTGTTAATTCCTTATATTTTATTAATGCTCCAGCTGATACATGTGGGGTTACAGAAACATACTCTTAACTGAGGAAGGGGCTGCCCTATGCACAGTTTAAAAACACATTTAAGTATACATAATAAATAAAAAGCTATATAATAAAACATATACCAGAGTACTCTTATCTTAGTAAATAACGTAAAAAGTTCAAAACAAAAAGATACAATTATTTGATGGTGTGTGATACCTTGATGTTCTTGGTGGCCTCGAAGCCGTCCAGCTGATTGAGCAGCTCCAGCATTGTCCTCTGCACCTCACTGTCACCACCTGAGCCGCCCTCCAGGCGAGAAGACCCGATTGAGTCGATCTCGTCCATAAAGATGATGGAGGGAGCGTGTTCTCTAGCCATGACGAACAGCTCACGCACCATACGGGCACCTGGCACAACAGGGAGGGGATCAAGGTTATACAAACTACAAAAATAGTTTCCGGAAATTTCTTTGATTGCATTATTAAGGACACAGGAGCTCACCCTCTCCAATGAACTTCTGGACCAGCTCAGAGCCAGACACCCTGATGAAGGTACAGTCGGTGTGGTGAGCCACAGCTCTGGCCAGAAGGGTTTTCCCTGTTCCTGGGGGCCCGTACAGCAGCACACCCTGCAAACGTTCAAAGCAAAACAGACATCAGAACCATCTGTACACTGACAACGTGACTAGATCTGCAACTAACAATTAGCAAATTTCCAGAAAATATATTGGCAACAATCTGATCTATCAATCGTTTCAATAACTTTTCAAGGAACAATCTCAAAACTTCTCTGGTTGCAGTATTTCGAATGTGTTGAATTGCTGCTTTTTGTCTGTTTTATATAATTGTAAACTGAATATTTTGGGGTTCTGGACTGTTGCACAGGCAAGACAAGACATTTGAAAATGTCACCTCAGGCTCTAGGATAATGTGCATTTCCCCACAGTTGCGTTTTGTCTTATGGACCAAATAATTAACTGGGAAGACAATCTGTAGATTAATCGATAATGAAAATAACTGATTGTTGCAGCCCAACATATCACAGTTGTCAAGTAAGATCTTTGTATCGCAAAGAAACCTAAGCAGTCTCTTTTATTTTTTTTTTGCTAGATGATGCAGTTTGGACATTTCCATAGGGTTTTGCTAGAAAATATTCTCAACCCTAACAGAAACCTGAAATCTCGAAAATAATCTGAAAATGTGAATAAACCAAAAACTGTCTCATACAAGGCAACCATATACAGAGAGGCTAGAGACATTCCTTTATCTGAGAGGCCATGGTTTGTGTCACAGTGACACCACCGTATCTGCCTTGCTGAAATGTCTCAGCTTCAGGGACACACTTTTGAATTTGAACCTAAACCTTTTATCTGACCCCTTACAAAGGAGGCAAGTAAAGAGGAATGTCTCCTTTAAGAATTTTAAAAGAGTGTACACTCAGCTCTCTTGTCAATCAATCACCCACCTTGGGCTGTGCAATGCCTAAAGCCTCAAACAGCTCTGGGTGCTTGACAGGCAGCTCAATCACTTCCTTGATCTCCTTGATCTGCTTATCCAGGCCACCAATCATTTCATAGGTGGAGTCTGGCACCTTCTCCACCATCATAAGGGATACCAGAGGGTCCACCTTGTTGGGCAGGATCTTGTGCAGGGTGTAGCTGTCGTTACGCAGAGCCACGCGGCAATTTGGAGTCACCTGGTGCAGAAGTAACAAAGGGGTGTTAGAATACTTCAGGTTTCTTAGAGACTGACCGTACAGGGAAGCAAATATGGCTTGTTTGATTTCAGTCTTGTGCTACGGTGGTAACTATTGAAAGGCATAATATTTGTTTTGCAAGTGTCGATTTAAGTACTCTGCCATGCAACCATTATTAACATAAGAACAACTATAATACTAACATCATTGATGTCAATGTTCTTGTCCACATCCACGACAAATTTTCCTTCTGGGTGCACCTGAAAGGGAGGACACATATTCATTTAAACTGTCAACTGGTTATCAAAATATAGTGAGCTACAAAGAACAAGAACACAGCATACCTTGACCAGCACTTTCTTTTTGTCCATGACCCTAACCACTTCTCCTACGTACGACCCCTGCTCCTGTAGTAACTGTAGCTCCTCACGAAGGAGGCGCACTGAAAGACAAAAAGTAGAACTTTAATAGTTTCATCCATGGGGAACATCTCTGTGCAGCTTTATATAGGATCTAAGGAGATAATATTGCAAAATACGCTGATGTTGCAGTAATAAAGAACCGTGTACCTTTGGCATTGAGCTCATTCCTCTGTGCCTGCAGTCGTCTGAGATTCTGGCTCTTATCATTCACTGTCAACTGTTGAAAACAAAACCCCAGCACTTCAGGATTGACAGCCAAGCAGAAACTGTGCAATCACATTATGGGCTGAAAGTCTGCATGTTTATTATTTTCTAACCTGCAACTCTTCTATCTTAGACAAGTAGTACTGCCGGAGACCTGAGCCACCTTTACTCTCCCCCATCTCCATCTGTCAAAGGAAAAAAAATATATATCAACCTTTAAAACACAGGCATCAAGTGCTCTTCATGGTTCTGAATCTATTTAGACCATTAACTTAGAGTAAGGGTGCAGGTAATGACTTAAGATTTCATTATCAATTTATTTGCTGAATATTGTTTGGCCTGAAAACGTAGGACAATTGTATAACCAAGAGATTTCCAATTTAAAAATGTATAAAAAAAAAAAAAAAAAAAAAAAAGGCAGCAAATCCTCAAATCTGGGAAGCTACAACCAGTGAATATTTTTTTGGTTTTTGCTATAAAAAAGGCCATTTAAACTAGTACTCAATTGCTGTTGATTAATTTCCAGTTGGTCGACTGTTAACCTAATAAATAGACTAACCAAGTAATTTCAAAGAAATGCCAAATTACATTAAAATCTAATTTAACATCTATGAAAACTGACTAACGTTACGTTAACTCATCGAGTCTGATAACGTTAAATTAGTGCTTAAGTGTTGAGCTATTTGACATCGGAAAACCACAGTTATCCAGAACAAGTTTGTGCAACAATACAATAATAAAGTGGGCTAAAAGTTAACGTTAACTACGTCTCCATAATAACTTAACGTTAGCAAGTTTAAGTGACTAAAATTAACGTGAAGTTAGCTATTGTTAGCCGACTCTAATTGAAACAGATATGGAGATGTTGCTTGTTGATCCTCAAACTATTAGTCATTTCACGTTGTATTTAGCAGCTGCTGTTTATTCTAATTGTAAAAAAATATATATAAAACTGTTGCCGACATATCACTGCCAGTCATTCAGAGTAGCCATCTCAAGCTAACGTTAGCTATCCATGCAATTGACAGAGAGCCTTAGCTAGCCAGTTCTTTAGCTAGGTTAGCTACAATGAGACAGCAAACCGGCAGCATACTAATCTTCACATTGTTTTGAATGAAGTAACATTTCAGTATTTACAGCACAGTCGCACAACAATTCATTCCCACAACTGATTCAAGAAAATGATCCGACTAAAGCATAACAGAAACGTTTCTTTGACAATACACAAATAAAACCAACAAAACGGCAGAAAAATACACCTACATGATCAATCCCGTCGACCTCCATGTTGAAATTTTGTGCTTCCGCTAGAGGAGAGGCGTATTTCCGGAAGACTTCTTCTGCAGGGTACTTTTTATCAAAGATAAATATGCACATCGCCACCTACATTTCTTTAAATAAATACACTTTACTTTTCAGTCCCAACCTCAAACCATACAGTCTATGCCTCAAACTTCTTTAGCTCTGAAAATGGCTTAAATGTTATCATAACACCTTGAAATATTTTTTAAAGGTTAAAGTTTTAAAGGTTAATTTACTCACTCAAACAAATCTGACATTTATCATTTAAGTCTTTGGTCATATCCTTGCTTTGTATTAGTTTTTTTTCAATTGCTAACATGAATTGGTCAAATTACTACTCCACCACCTCCAAAACACTGTGTATTTGCAGCACGTTTTTCAAATGCTAACATCCTGTGTCAAAAACTGTTACATGTCACATTCAAAACAGAAAGATGACAAATACCCTGCATTCCTGCAGCAACCAGACTGAAATATATTTTTTAAAAATCTTACGTTTGCGTCTATGTGCTTATATTTCAGCAGAATTATTTCAGGTTTTCCGGACATGAATTACAGGTTGTGGTCATTGTGGGTCAAGTTTCAGTGTTACTGTGTAAACAATTGAGAAAAACTGTAGAACTGAAATTTTAGGCATTAGTTTTTTGTTTCAACAAGTAAATTACTGTAGACAAAACTGTAAAAACTGCATGTCACCTAACTGGCTGAGTCTCAGGTCTGTGAAGAGTGTAGGAAGTATTTGGGTTGGCTGTTATTTGAGGAGAGGTAAACACGTGTTAACTGTGGAAGACCAGCCATACCGGTTGATACTGCTGCTCTCAGCAGCTCCTGAGCTCATCAACCAGCCCTAACATGCTCACTTATACCATGACCCCAGCTTCTTACAGCTCTTACAGCTGAGCGTGTACAGTAAAGGATATGATTATAAGCCTCCACCATTAAAAATGATAATAACACCATGTGCAATATTTGTACTGGAGCAGGTTCTAGATTATGAAAATACTGTATAGAAAATATTTGTAAGTACATTTATTGTAAAAAAAATCCTCAAATGTATAAAAGGTAAAAGGCATTTGATTGGTACACAACATGCAAACATTTTACAAAGAGGCTGTACAAAAATAATTGTACAGGGCCTACAAGTGCCTTCTTCACAAAACTAATTTTAGCACGAAGATATTGGTTAACATGGAATGTTTAAAGAAATTCAGGAGAAACCCTCATACAAAACCTAAAAACAAAATAGCATTTTGAAACTAAACAGTACACAACCATTTGGTGTACTGCTTTATTGGCACACTACAACTACATTCCTATTTTATTAATACCAGTTAACCTTCTTGGGAGGTATGGATCTTACAGGAAGAACCCTTCAATCCAAAGAGCTTGCCGCTGTTCCTCTTCCTGGCATTAAAACAATGAAAAGCCCCCAATAACAAATGAAAACAGCATGTAAACATTCAAGAAGTACAAAAAAAGCTGCTAAAATACAGATGGACACAGTGAACTCTTGTCCTTGTACAGATAAGGAGCTCAAACCTTCCCGAAAATAGATTTTTTCTGGAAATCCTGCTTTCTTACAAAATAAAGAAAGGTTTCATTTCAAATGACATATTCCCCAATATAAAAAAACAGCACCTCAAAATTATTGTTGGCTTCTTATTACTTCCTAAGTCATAAGACAAATTAAGTATTCCTATGTTCTTGTAGAACATAATCCATATTTTCTGAACATATGTTTGAAATAATATGGATATATATTTTAATTCTACCATTCCACCTTCTCAATTTCTTTTTTTTTTTTAGATGTTACCAGACATCAGGTATTGTTCCTTTTTAAAGGTTATGGCTTTTAAATATGAAGGTAAACACACACGCTTTTTCAAAATAGCACACAACGTGATGGTGAAAAACACCCAAACAGCACCAATGCTTAAAACATTTTAAGCATATTGTACCATAAACAAAACATATTGCAAAAAAAGGCAAGATTATTTGAACAGGCTCAAAATGAAAGATGCAAGGCAAACATATTATTAAGGACATGTTAATCATCACTTTGGTCCCATTTACTTTGTTAACTTTAGAATTATTATCTATATGACAGAAACGATATGTATCGCACTGCTGGTTTATCATACCATGTCAGAGACGATGGCTTTGTGAACATTTAGCTTATTTCTTTCCAAGCAAATTCCAATTTCTATTGAGTTAAATGTTAACATTTGATGAGTAAGTTGGCTCTGACTCCTCATAATATGTCTTTAGGTGAGTCGGATACCCAACACCTGCTCCAACTCTTGTCTCCTCTGCTGCACCTGAAACAAAAAAGTGGATGGTGTCAGTGCAAAATAAAACTAAAATATACTGAAACCTCACAATAAAATATCTATCGAACATGTGCATTGTTAAGCAGTGCATTAGACTGTAATTCCTTACTCTGTAGTAAACATATCTTCCTACTGCCTCCGGTACCCAGGGCGCCTGGTAGAACTCAGTCCTCCTCTCCTCCTCTGGGTTTCCTGTCACATCTGTCATCAACTGGTGCAAAAGAAAATTATCGTTGAACATGAGGAACCACAATTTCATGAATACAGAAAACAATTCCATTGCCAAATGAAAAAAATAATGTTTTAATGAGAGACTCTTACATTGTCAATTTACAAACACATACATTTAAAGAAGAGGAAGTGAAAAAAGTTTACGTAATATTTAAGTGAGATTTCTACAGTTCAACCACAGTGACACATAACACATATTTTGGAATACTTTGACAAGTCTCTTCTTTACACTGTGTAAAAGACAGAGCAGATTATGACATGCTATGAAGACTCCTGTGGAGAAACCAAGCGGCAACCCTCAGGGTTGTAAAATTAAGTGCTGATAACTGCAGTTCAAAGAATGTCCACTTGAGCCCGGCTCCAAAAGCGTGTCGGCCTCCATAGACCACCATGTTAAAATGCCCAACTTTACAGCAGAAATAAAGATGTTTACATGCCTGGTACAAAAGAACTTTTGGTCTCTATTGCTAATTTCCCCCTTCTGTGTGGAGGGTGAATTTTAATGTATCTTACCCATTTAAATTATATTGAAGCTTAAAGTTATGCATAATTAAGGATATGGCCGTTTTGAGTGATAGGTGGGTGCCCTCTCAGGTGGCTAGCCTGGCTAGGTGGTTTCAGCAACCAGGCTTCATTTGGCCCGCACAATGGGCACGCCTCAGCTCTTCCTCTTAGCTCATTTTTGGATTAGCCAGGGTCAAGCACTGCCCAGATGGTGACGGCATGTGTGTGACACCCACATTGAGATTCAAAAAGGTTCTTAAGAAACCTACGGACAATACGTCCATGTTTTATACAGTGAGAGAAACAGTTACAGTAAGTTAGTGGCAAATGTTTACCTTCAGATCTCTGCTTTGAGACTTGAGCCAGTCTTGAATGAAGTCCTGTGGATTGTTGCTGAAGCTCAGCATAAAGTCTCTCTCAGTCTTCAGCTGGTTGATGTACTCAATTGTCTCATGAATCTGCAGTGAATACAGTAATTGACAGGACAGTTTTTTCCTTTTATTTACAGTATCCTAGATGTAAGTGAGGTGCTTTTTGATTGACTGGCAGGCCTCACCTTCATCTCCAGTGCAGCAATTTCCTGTTGGTTGGTTGTAGAGGAGAGGAAACTGTTCATTTGGCCTTTCAGTGGATCATCCACCTCCACATCAATGTCATAGCATGCTGTCTTCTTCTGATCTGTGGGGTCTACACTGCTCAGAGAAGACAAAACAACACAGAATTCAAGTTGGATTGTAATAAGGGAGGAAGAGAGCTGCAAACATGTAAGAGCAAATAAAGGATTATATAAGCAAATAAAGGATTATATAAGCAAAAATCAACAACAATGATAAATGAGTGCATGATTCATTCAGAGCCCACACATAACAGATGCAACAAACACAGAGAAAGAATTATCCACACTCCCCTACCTAATCATGTGATTGATAATGATGGGGTCAGGGTGTTGCAGCAGGCTGGCCAGTTTCACGGGAATCTCAGAGAACCTCATGCGAGGACAGGCAAAGATCTGAACAACATTTGGTTAGAAAACAGAAGAAGTTTAAAAAAGAAAAAACACTTGATCTCCCCACAAGCGTTAAAACATCAAAAAGCTGAAAAATACATGTTAGCTGCACATCTGAAGTCCCACACAGTCAATACATATCTTAATGACTAATTTGACTACATAATTTTAAAATTTAAGGAACAAATTAGGTAATCGTATGCATACATATATAATATATGTTATAATAATACATGCCGTAAAATCACAAATCATGGTAGGTCCTATGAATGGCACAAATTATGGCACTTCTCTCTCTATCAGGCATATGAATAACAAGTTTGAGGGAACGAATTATACAAAAATAAATAAATCTCTGCACATTTAATAAAATATCGATACAAAATGATTTTCTCAAAGCAGGACTTTGAAATGCATGGTTAGGTGGTGAGCTAGCATTTTGACGCTTGTTGCAACAATTCAATTACCTGTCTGAAATAGCGGTTGCAGTTGATGTACTCCTTCTCATGACTATCCTGCAGCTTGTTGTTCTTGATGTAGAGCCAAAGAGCTTGCATGATGCTGGCCCGCGTCTGTGTGTGCACACCCAGCAGACGAGCCAACCGCGGGTCCAGTTTGTACTGAGGGGGCTGGGAAAAAAAGAAAGTGTAGGCTGAAACAGCAGCCATCTTGCAAACAGTTGCAAGGCGGTAACTCAGCAAATGGGTGGTACCTGGTGGTCGAGCATGAGCAGAAGGGTGCATTTAACATTCACATCGCCAGGCCTTTTGACCTGGAAACCGTCGGTCTCCTGAGTGGTGGGCATTCTATGCCACTGAAAGATCAAATTAAGTAAAAAGATCAGATTTCTCTCAAGTCCAATTAGAGATAAAACTAAATAATAATAAAAAATGTGTATGTTATACATACATTCAAATAACCCCCTCTCCCTCCATTTACTCCTTGTTTACTCCCCTTGCTTGTGGCTTGCATCTGTGATAGCGGACTTACTATCAGATACGTACAAGCAAATGCTCCAAGACGATATTGGTTCGGTGCCAGTTTGCATGGTGCAATAATTAGGTATCTATTAGAATAAATGCTAACTTTCAGCACTGTTGTTTTTGTGTGCGAGACACTCAGTTATGTAAATTGGACTCTTTACCGTGCCAAAGCATGTTTTCTGATGTTAATTTAAAATATGTCAATCAAACTGATATTTATTACAGGGCTGGTTTAACCCTATGTTTGGGGTGATAAGTCAAACATAGTTAAACTAAACATGGGGGCATGACTTCCAGATTCAAGAGCTCTTAACAATCCCCCCCTTAACTGTCAGACAAGCTCAGACAGGATTGGTTCCAAAAGATTTAATCATTCCAGCTAAACTCCACTTTATGACCGGGGCTGGTGAACCAATAGCTGTCTCAGGACATTTTCGTGTGCCTAAAATGTTCTGAGGTGGTTGCATCAAATGCCTTTAAAATGACATCATACCTCTACTAAGTGGTTGTCAGGTCCATAGAGCTCCTTATCAAGCTCGATCACCAGGCTTTTGAAGAAAGATGAGAACTTCTTCTTCTGCTTGCCAGGCTATGAATGAAAGAGTGCATAAAGGAGTGTGAAAAGACAGCAACATGATTGCTATCTATCTATGTCTTCTTATTGTGCTGTGTCAGTCGGTGCAGCTGCATTGTTCAGCTCTGACCACATCGGGGGTGGTGAGGAACGAAACTGTAGTCTACAACAAAAAGCTCTTGCTGCACCCCCTCCCTCTCCCAAGCCCTGACAAAGTCGGTTTGCACAACATGACCCATTTCATTCCTTCACTCACATCGCTTTTCTGTTTCCGTTACTCCATGCAAAACTCCTACGCATGCCTAAATCAGTGAGCCTGGGGAAGAAAAATCAGCTCCTTCATGTGGCCCCAGATGACACAATGAGTGGAGCTGGAAGTGATGGAGGGAGGGGAAGCATGTCAGCTCATGGTATGTAACGGCCAGTGGTTTCAATTCCTCCTTTCAAAAGAGAACATGAGCTTGTGTGTGTGTGTGTGTGTGTGTGTGTGTGTGTGTGTGTGTGTGTGTTAGGATTGTGGGGTGGAGTGGGGAGAGCTGTAAACACACATCTGGTTGCGTGGTCTGAGCCAAGGACACAGGCCAACCAGAGCAGAGTGGCTGAAGTTTTCAGAAACACAATAACAGAGGCTGAAATACCAGGAGTCAGACCACACTGGGACGATGGTGAAATAGAGCAACGAGAGTGTTATTCACTTACTTCCTCCAGAAGTTTGCCCTCCACTCTCAGTTCCCACGAGGACACCTTCTCTGCCTCCTCACCCTCAGGCTTGCTGGGTGTGTACGTGTTAGAAATGTAGATCCTGAGCTTGCGTTTTTGCTGCGTCACAGAGATGAACAAGCTGGTATATCAGGAATTCCAGTAAAAAGTAGTAGACTTTTTTTAAACTGCATTTGGTGAGTGGTGGAGACAGCTTTGACAAAACATGGAAGACATTAATCAGCAAATAAAGACAATTTAAAGTTATAATTCTCAAGATATTCATGAACTCAGTCTCTCCTTTTCTGTACTATTTATTTATTTATTGTATATATTTGTTTTTATTTTATCCAAAGCCATTCAGCGTATTTATATTCTGTAATTTCCTCTCTATATATTAGATATCATTGTTAGTGGCGGAGTCCGCCATTTCCGCACTGTTTTCAGATTGCCTACATAAGCACGAGAAATTCACAGGAAGTGATGCATGTATGGAGTCCAGCACACTGTTTTAATATCATGTCAGCCGACCTGCCTTATCAAGGGTTGTATTCACAGTAAAAGTGAAAAATACGTCAAAAAAAACAGTCACAAGCAGTCGCTCAATGAGTGTTTGCTGTAGTATTTTGTAGCACTTTTCTGTTAACCTCCACAGGTATCGCCAAATCAACCAGGACTGAAATCTTAAGGATTATAACGTCAAACTCGTGATGAGGCAGCACTTCATACAGCCAGAGAGTTATCTCAAAATATCCTTTCATTATCTAAAATTCTGCACTATAATGAAGAGGTACCATAATGGGCTTCTTGATGGCTTCCTGAATCTCCATGCGCTTTCGGGCGATGGTCTGATCCAGTTTCCTCTCAAAGGCCAAGAGATCCATGTAGGCCTGGGACTCTGGGACCAGGTCTCGGATCTAAAGACCCAACAGCAGGACATGAACATTAAGGGAATATGGCCAACTGTAATCAAATTGGATCCTTCTGAACTATTATTCAGGTGGTCAAAATGTTCTTACCCTCTGTGGGAGAACCTTGTCGGCCATCTTACGTCTTTTTGCCCTAAATCACACAGAAAATATAATATCTGATGATTATTAAGATGATTTCCAAAGTATTTGTGTTTATTTTGACAAAAAACAAAACAAAAAAGTAACATCATGTTAACCATATGCTTTGTTGAAAAAAATAAAAGGATCCAGTTGGCTAAAAATATTACTTAAACAAGGACACACTGCAGTATGTTGCCTCATTTCCAACTCATTTCCTTTGATTATTAAGTATGTGTGAAAACTTGATAATGAGATAACAAAATCATGGCCAGTGCAATCTCTTCATTAACTCCCCCGAAGGAGCACCTCAGGCTCCCACTTATCATTGCAACTGAATTCATGAAAGACACTTTGTGTCTTTAATTAGATTACACAGTTCTCACTCATTATGACTAAATTTAACTCCCAAGCTCTTTAATGGGAATTTAGAATGTTGCCCCCAGCCCTGTGGCTCACTAATCATCCCATACTGAGAATTTTGTTATGAGACAAACCTTTAAAGACAAGAGGTTCATTGAGGAAGAAACTGTGCATTTATGAGCGTGGCATCAACAACCAGTCTGAAGACAAAAATACCCACTGGTGTAAGCAAAGGCCAGTCATGGGATACTCCTATCCTCGTGTCCGTGTGATCTGAGCTGTGCTTTTAAAAGTACAGTAACTTTACAAACAGGCCAGCAGAGCGAAAAACACATCCTGGATGAAGAGTGGTGTTGTTGTAGTGTTAATCAGCTCCTGCGTTTTTATGACTATATGACTAATATGGTGTTGTTATGGTGTTACATTTCCCACTGAATGTAATTATGTTCATTTTGCTTTACACAGTACATAAACTTAAAAAAAAAAGTCAATTTAATTTTGACTTGGCTGAGGAAAACGTTACTAGCAAGGTCCTTAAAATAAAAATGTTTGCTGTAAACCGGTGTAGCAAATAAGGAGGAAATACACCCACTTCCATCACCCACTTTCAGAGACATTCCTTTTATAAACAGTAGTCATTTTAAAAATGTCATCATCCTTTTCTGGCAACACCATATCATAAAAAAGCTTGTTTTAGTCAGTCAAAGGCAGAAAATGAGGTTTTGAAAAAAAGGAGCAAATTTTTCAGGGAATATGATGTGCATAAGAGTAAAGAGTCATTTCAATTGGACTCTCACTGTAACAACCTTAATAATTGAATATTAAATCAAATGCTGTACATTTCTTTTGTAAATTGAATGTACTGGCTTTGGATTCTTGTCAAAGTGCCTTTCCCTAATTTGGCCCCGGGCGGTCTTGGTCAATCAGCCTTAGCACAATTCCTCTCCCTCTCTTCTCCTCCCCTCCCACAAACACTCTCCCTTCTCCACAGTTTACCCTCGTCTGAGGCCTCCCAGTGCATCTTGCTGTTGCTGCTGCTGCTGTTGTTGATGCTGCTGAAGGAACCGCTTCCTCGAGGCGTCCATGCTTGGAGGCCCCATGCCTGGCCGCATGGACATGTTCCCACCACCATAGGAAGGACCAGGCAGCTGACCCCCCATTGACCCCATTGGGCCCCCCACTCTGTTGGGTGGCATCCCTGAGCGCTAGAGAAAAGGAGGGAAGCTGCAGCTATGATTTCTGGTTCATAAGAATAACATTGTTGTGCACTAAACAAGTTTCTTTCTCCAAACCTGGGCAGTTTTTCCTTTTAAATAAAATTGTGGCTATTAAAAAAATAATGCTTTGGTAATATTTACTTCCTGCAGTACTGCTTCACAAAAGATGGATTAATGCTCCCAATGTGATGCTGAATTTCAGAGATCAGATTTAAAGCCCTGAGTTCTACCAGGTGTTGAATGATCAAATACACATGTTTCAATCTTTATCTTGTTTTATAAAGCAGTTATAGTCTGAAATAACACACTGAATGGATTCATCAACAATGTATGTACACTGTCCACCTTAACACTACTACTTACTTTTGTTTGGTCTCTTAAAAGCAAATATCTGAACCTATATGTCTCTACCTGACAAACACAAGACAACTGTGATAGTGCATGATGTTAACTAAAGACCACATGAAGCTGCAGATGGTGGCAAAACTGGAATAACATATGCGGGCTTAGCTCTGACAGATGGTGTTAATAAACGTACTTTTGTTTTCAGGTTTACTGACAGGGGGTGAAGGGCAACCACGTGATGTTCTCTTTCACACATGCACTAAACATTGTTCTTGGATTATAATTTTAATTAAACATCAACATATTATTAAGGTACACAATGATATTACACCATAAACGCATATTAGAAATGTTACACTCAATTTATTGGCGCGGCAGTAAGCAATTACATACCCCTTTTCAAACACGGAAGTGGTGTCCACACCTTGATTTAAGAATAATGGGCTTTAATGTTATTCTTACCTTCACATCTGTGAGGTGACTGTCTTCAACTAGATACTTTTGTTTAAACACACATCTAGGACTGTGTTTACTCTCAAAAGTAGCTCGCACACACTTTAAGAAGCCACAGTAACATTTAGAAGTTACACCAGTCAGATCACGTTACCCTCACCTTCCGTTCAGCCCTAAGCTTTCCTATTTAATAAGGTGAAATTAAGCAGTAAACCAACCTGGGGGTACTGGGGGGAGCTGTTCATGTTGCGGGGGTATCCCGCCGACGGTTGGGGCATGCCTGGGATCCTCATGCCCGCAGCATGCCCAATATTCATGGGGTGCATATTCGGATTCATCGAAGAAGACGTGAAGACTCCTCTTGATGCCATCTTCTAGATCCACAAGTGGTTCAAAGTGACGGAAACTTCTATCAAATTTCCGTCCAAATACAAGTCTGGCAAGCGGCTAAATGAAGTCACCGGTACACGTCCGTAATTAGTTAGCAAGTTAACTACAGCTACTGTTAAAGGGGTCTGGTTCTGAGTTGACAGCAAGCACACTCACTGTCAACAAAAAGCTAGCTAATGTTAACTTAGCTCGTTTGCAACCGTTTCAAGTTCCGGGATTTGCCTCTTCCTCCTAACTTCTTTCTGGACACCAAGTGGTGGCTGCTGTTTGTTACCTCTTCCGCTTGTTAAGACTTAACATCGCTAACTAGCACCTGGTTTCCTTGTGAGGCTAATGAAAAACATGACAACGCCTGACTTACCACAAAACTGAGTGTCTAAAGCAATACCAAGTATTCTTGTAACTGGACACACACACACACGCACACACACACACACAATGCAGAATGATGCTTTCATGACAATCCGACAATTTCAGCGCCTGTTAGCAGTTACCCTCGCCTAATCTAACGTTTGCCCTCTTGGCAAAGACACATTAAAAATATCAATAGCCTAAATTTGCGTTTAGGTTGTCATTAAAGCCTGTGTTTTCTGAGGCCTAAAATGTGACATTTATATGCACTGAGGTTTGATGCAACCTTATCCTCCTAATTTTGCCATCAGTGTCACTTTGTTTCTACATCAAAACTGCCAGCCCCAAGATATTTTCTGTCAGATCCCAGCAGTGGTGAAAGAAGAAGATCTTAGGTCTTTTACCACAGTGTAAATATACTGGCTTACCAGTAAAAGTAACATCTTACAATATAAACAGTAGCTATATAATATAAATAATATATAGATGTATTTAGTGTAATGTAGCCTACATAAAATAGCAAAAAAGTAAAAGTACTCACTATGCTGAATGGCCCATTTCAGAATAATATATTTATATGTATACAGTCTATCACTGGGTTTTAAATGCATTCATGCATTAAGCTTTGCTTGTGTTGCGGCTGATAAGGTGTACTTAATTTTAACTACTTTATATACTGTCTGGGATCTTAATTCATAACAATAAATCATCAGTTATTAGTTGTATTTTGTTTCAATAATCTGAATCTGCAAAGTAACTAGTAACAAATGTTGTCAAATAAATGTTGTGGAGTAAAAAGTACAATATTTACCTGTATGTGTTCATATAAAGTAATTTTATGTTATAAAGTAACATAAAATAAAAATACTCAAGTAAAGTACAAGAACCTCAATCCACCAGTGGATTCCAGTAATTAATAATCACTACCACTTAAATGTAATGAACTGACCTCACAGTGCTGGCGCTGTCCACCTACCACCCTCTGTGTAGCTACTAAACCCAGAAACCCAGACCAGACCAACCTGTATTCTTATGCTGGAACAGTAGGCTATACCCTGGCTCCAGGTTTTCTGTGTGTCACTTAGTTTGTTGTAATTTGATTATTTAGGACTATGTAACATGTGAGCACAATGTAAACTAAACTACTTAAAACTCGGGCCTCTCTAAAAGACATGGGCACAATATTAGACAATAAAGGTGATGTTGTCATTTGGTGGTACAAATTACAATGCATTGAACTTTGTTTAAGCAACAGTACCAATACATGTAAAAATAAAATACCCCAAATCAAAGTCCTACATGTAAAATAATACTTGATCTTGATAGAAATGACCCCTGAATTAATTGATGTACTCTAACTGATATTATTATACATTACATGAGTACTGTGAATCTGATGAATCAAGCAAGTAAGCAGCATTTTACTGCTGTTGCTTGTAAAGGTGAAGCTAATTTTAGCTACTTTATATAGGCTACTGTAGCTCTAATGCATTGTCATTTATTTGTCATAGTTTGTGTTGAGTAGTAACTGCTGTTGGATAGATATCTCTCTGATATGTAGTGCAGTAGAGGTATAAAATATTATAAAATGAAAATACTAAAGTAAAGCACCTCAAAACTGTACTTACACAGCACAGTACTTCAGTAAATGTACTTTCATTTTAATTTTTTATTTTCCATCACTGGTTCCATCACACTGTTAAAGTAAGGATTGTTGTTGTCAAATGTAGAAATTCTTTAGATAATACTGTGCATAGTGTATGATTTATTTTAGATGCATTATTTTTCTGCATGTCTAATAGCTTGCATCAAGAAGCCCCACGTTTAAGGTTTCCAACCAGCCTTATGGCCTAAACAGGCAACTTTACCAAATCTCAGATGTCTGTGTTTAGGAGGAGCACGTGAAGGCAGCATAACTAGCTCTCCTGGCAGTTTTCAGTTCTGGGAACTCAATGCAGAACCCTTTGATTAAAATCTCCAACTGTGGGGACTTTGTTGTGTTTACCATTTCTCAGTATTCTAAGAATTAGATCCACAACAGTTCATCACTGAAAACAACTTCCACAAAGCAACATTTAGTGTCTCATGCAATAGGTATCACCAAAACTAAAACATGTCTTGACCCTTTCATTTGATCAACAGCCTGGTCATTTGGTATCTACTTGTAAGTAATAATAATAATAATAATAATAATAATAATAATAATAATAATAATAATCTTTATTTGTAGAGCACCTTTCAAAAACAAGTTACAAAGTGCTTCAACAAGTGCAAAGACAACAATACAATACCCAAAAGACAACAATACAAGCAAGAAAACATTGAAAAGACCAAAATACACATTTAAGATAAATATAAAATAAGTAAAATAGAATAAAATAAAAGGGATAAAATAAAGTCAAATAAGATCGGCATAAGAAAGGCTCTCCTATAAAAGTATGTTTTAAGGAGGGACTTAAAAGAGTTCACTGACTCAGCCGACCTGATTTCCTCGGGCAGGCTGTTCCAGAGCCTCGGGGCCCTGACAGCAAACACTCTGTCCCCTTTAGTTTTCAGTCGAGACTCTGGAACAGACAACAGACTAAGTCTAAAGGTATGTGCTGGTGCGTATGAGACTAAAAGGTCAGAAATATAACAAGGCGAGAGGCCATGAAGAGTTTTAAAAGTTATCAATACATTTTTAAAGTCAATTCTAAAATACACTGGGAGCCAGTGTAATGAAGTTAAAATAGGAGTAATGTGGTCATATTTCTTTGTTCTGGTTAAAAGCCTGGCAGCTGAGTTCTGGACAGTCTAGAGTCGATCAGTAGATTTTTGGGTTAAACAGGTGAAAAGGCTGTTGCAATAATCCAGGCGTGATGAGATGAAGGCGTGTAAAATGGTCTCAGTGTCCTATTTTACTATTTATATTTCTAAGTTGATAAAAACATGATTGAACAAGCTTTGTGGTCTGCTGCTCGAAATTTAAATTACTATCAAACCAGACACCAAGGTTCTTTGCAACAGGCTTAATGTGATTTACTAGCGAACCAGCAGATGGCAGTATTTGTTTTGCCATCTGCTGGGACCCGATGACCAGGATTTCTGTTTTGTCTGAGTTCAGCTGGAGGAAATTATTTGACATCCATTTTTTAACTTCACAAAGGCAGTTAAGTGAACTCAGCATTCCAGGATCTGTGGATCTGACGGGCAAGTACATTTGTGTGTCATCAGCATAAATATGAAAAGAAATGCCATGTTTATGGATAATATGTCCAAGGGAAAGCAGATTCAAGGAAAACAAAATGGGTCCTAAGACCAACCCCTGAGGCACACCATATTTAACTGGACAGAACAAAGAGACATAGTTGTTTACAGACACACAAAACTTCCTATTTGACAGGTAGGATGAAAACCATTCTAGGGCAGTACCAGAGATCCCCACCCAGTGCCTCAGTCTGTCTAACATGATGTTGTGATCAATGGTGTCAAAAGCAGCGCTAAGGTCCAGGAGTACCAGGACCGAGCATATACCTTCATCAGCAGACATTAAAAGGTCATTGGTGACTTTAAGCAGGGCAGTCTCAGTGCTGTGGTACTTCCTGAAACCAGATTGAAACTTTTTAAATAATTTGTTATTTTCCAGTACAGTGAGCAGCTGTTTGGACACAATTCTTTCTAGAATCTTTGCAATAAAAGGCAGTTTTGAAATTGGTCTAAAATTTTGTGGGAGGGACGGATCTAAACCAGGTTTCTTTAAAAGTGGGTTCATGCAAGCCGTTTTAAAATGATGAGGGACACAACCAGTAGATAGGGAGCCGTTAAAAACAGAGATCAAATGGGGCCCAACAGAATCCATTACTTTCAGAAAAACTTTGTAGGTATTACATCAAGTGGATTGGAGGATACTCTCATTTGTGATACTGTTTTTAAAAGCTCAGACAAGTCGATGGGATAAAACTGGTTAATACTCTCTTGTTGCTGGTGAGGAACCTCTGATTAAGAACCTCTGAGTAAGAACCTCTCTGATTGACACCACCTTATTGGTAAAATAAGATAAAAACAATTCACAGTCATCTTTGCTTCCAGCTGAGGCACAAGGAGGGGTTGGGTTTAACAGCTGATCCACAGTCTTAAACAGAAACCTGGGATTGTGTTTATGTGTAGTAATGACTTCAGAAAAAGGAGGTAATGGACTTGGAGACTGGATTTTTTTCCATCTGCGCTCTGCTTTCCTGCATTCCCTTTTTAGGCTGTGAATGCTGTCATTTATCCAGGGTTGCTTACTAGCTTTAGACGTAGGCCTAACCTTTAGAGGAGCAGTAATAGTTAGTGTCAACAAGCAGATATGATTGAAGTGATCGACCAGATTGTTAGTGTTGGAATAAGACAGGTTTTGGCTTTGGCTCTAAAAGAATGTGCAAAACTTCGAAACACTTTGCTCATTAAAGATGCGAGAACACACGGAGCTTGGTGAGGTGGCATGAGTAACAGGCTAAAACAATACATCTGTGGTCAGATATGGTCATGTCCACTAATTCCACAGAGGAAATGCTGACACCCAGGGTAAAAACCAAGTCCAGTGTATGACCACAGTTATGTGTTTGCCCTTTGACATGTTGTTTGAAGTTAAAAGAAGTGGCCATATTTAAAAAGCCAGTTGCATTAGCATTGTTGGGGTCATCAACATGAATATTAAAATCGCCACAAAGAACAATTCTTTCATACTTTAAAACCAGAGTAGATAAAAATTCATGAAGTTCTGATAAAAATCCTCCAGGCAGTTTTTTGGGGGGGGCGATAAATTATAACAAATATGATAGGTTGCAGCCCTCCAAGTTTAAGAGTGAGAACTTCAAAGGAGTTAAATTCATCACAGCATACTTGATGACATTTAAAATTTTTCCTATACACGCTCACTAGTACTTGAGCAACATTACTGTTTTTTCCTTACAGTTCTTTTCTTGCTCCCCCATCACAACGCTATTCAGTGTTAAATGTTTTAAGTTAAGCTGACTCAGCAAGCTTGTTAAAAGGGCAAGCTCTGTGCGGGGCGGCTCTCTGGTATCCACAGAGGAGGTGGGTAAGAGGAGGATATTAGCCAAGCTTGTGTCAATCATGGACAACACCGCTCACCCCTTGCCTGTTGCTCCTTCAGCAACAGACTGCTACACCCACAGTGTAAGGAGGAGCACTACCACGTCTTTCGTTCCAACGGCAATCAGAGTCTTTAACACCAGCATGACATAATGCCCACTGTTTATTGTCTCTGTCACATCACCCACAACTTACAACATCACAGCTACTTTGCACTATTTATCTTTATTTATCTTAAGTTATATATCCTAGTAATTGATATCTATACATATATTATATACACATTATATACATACTATATAATACTATATAATATATATAAAACGTGACCGGTGTTCAAGGGAGAGAGGGGGTACAGTTTTGTGAGGTGACTTCATTCAACTGCATTTTTCTCAATAATATAACAATATATAGTTAACACTAGCTAGTAATGGTGTTAGATTAGAGCTGCTGTCATTTAGGATGAGAGAAATGTGTTGAAAAGACGATGGTGACCAAGGAAATGGAAATTTATGGCTCGCAACCTTTTCACCACCTTCCCAAAACTCACATGGGGGAGCACTAACATTGTTCCACGGGAGCCACACTGACAAGGCTGCCTGTGGATGTGTCCAAAGATATTTTTTGTATATCGGCTGCAGTTATTTACTGATACCAATTATCTCTAAATGCCAGATAATCCAACCAATTAATCGTTCTATCATATATATATATATATAGTGATTCATCTACCTCTTGAGGCATGTTTTTAGTATAATGTTACACACCACAGGTGTATTATATCTGTTCACTTATGCATCATATATATATCTGTATAATTTCTACTGAATGTGTATTTATCTATCACTCTTTTTTCCTGTAGGAGTTGAATCTTGAGTTCCTGTAAAAAGTGAATTTCTCCTGGTGTGGGATCAATAAAGTGTGCCTTCCCTTCTCTCCCCATCTTAACACGAGACAAAACAACAGGTAACAAATCATTTATTATGCTAGACAGATGAAACAAACTGAGCCATGATAGCAGCAATTCAACTATTGGAATATTTACACTATCACTTCACACCAAGGATATATGTAATCCTTTACAATGTAAACACATGATACAAAGACATTTTTGAATGCTAGAAAACAAGCCGATCTATCCACCGAAAAATTAAACAAAAACCTGCTTTCTGCAGCGAATACCTGCCATACCACTTGCTGAACATTATTAAAACAAGTTTCCACAGGTGAATGACAAACTGTTTCACAACATATTGTAATTCAGATGGAGAACTATGAGCCTGACACTGAATGTGAAAATAACAGACAAACCATTAGTAATGATTGTCTTTGACATTATTTGTTTTTTTCAAAGAATGAGATTTTAAGAAGGTGAGGAAATACAAGTAAACCTAATGGCTAATCGTTTCTGTATTTTAAAGAAACAACATACTGTATGTGCACATTTTCACTCTTCACACAGCTGCCTGCTTGGCCACTGAATGAATTACACCAGAATCTACCTCTGTGCAGTGAGTATATGGTGATATTCATTTTGGACTCTAGCAAAACTTAAAATTAACTAAACAAAAGAACAACATGAGTGTTGGTACGGTTAATTTGTGAAAAATAAAAATAAAATCTGTCAAGTATACAGTGGGAGGTCTGGACCGCTTCCGCAGAGCAGCAAACGCCATGAATGTCACCTACGTATAACATCGACGTCCATTGATTTCACAACACAACGAACTGAGGGTGAAGTGTTATTGGTCTTCCCGTGTGTGTGTGTGCGCGCGTTTCTGTGTACTTGTGCACACACGAAGGTAAGAGAATGTGTGTTGGTGGCCTAGTGTGTCACTGAGGGAACGCCTCATCTTTCATCAGCATGCGTGGGCTTTCCTGGTTGTCCATGCGACGTCTAGGACCCATCATGCCTGTGGGAAAAAACAGCAGGCTAGATGTCATTCATTCACAGTGTCTTCAATGAGTGTTCAGCCAAGCCCCCATCTAGGCACAAATTTACTGGACAGGAAGCACGCTGGGCTTCTTTACTCTTAAATCTAATAATTCAACCATAATGCTGCACTAAGCAGGATTGGTTAAACATATATGAATATGTTAAATACAACTAGCCAATGAAGTGATTGTCCCATCCACCCTTAACTGAACTCTGGTCCGGTAGGAAGTCTTCTCAGCCACGAGAAACTAATTTAAAAGCAGCCCATTTAAATACATTCTTTTAAGCAAAACTTCTCAGTGTAAAACCAAGACTTTACACACGTTAGCAGTATAATGACGTCAGGTCTTATGATTTACTACATACTTTACTACATAAACCTGTAAATTTTACTGTATCATCTAAATGCTGTTGCATTTATTTTGGATTTAGTGTTTCCGTGCTTCATGGGTAAGAATTATACAAGAATATTACATGAGCTAACATGTGCTCCTGCTGTGTTGGGATTACAAGTATTCCCACAGTTGTAGTATGTTTTAACAGTTGCATTTTCCTTAAAACCTAAAAGTATTTTGATTGCGTAAGTACACGAAGTACAAATTGCAGATGAGCCATCAGGAGGAAGTTTAAGCGTTCATATCCACTTACTGTTCTTATGCTTGAATGATTTGGATCTTCTGGGGGAGTTTGGATTCTGAGGTGGGAAAAGAAATATACAATGTTTGCGTGGATAAATCAGGAATAATGAGTAATATTCTCTGTGTGTTTATATAAATGAATTCATTATAGGGATAATAAATCAGCATAATGCTCCCATTCATTTTATTAAGCTTTAGGGTTTTTACATTAACAATAAAAAAGAAAGTACCTTATCCGATTTCCTTTTCTTGGCTGTAAAAGAAAAACATTCAATTTCAGATTTGAGCAATTTCATACATTTCCAACTTCATGAGAGGGTTATTTTAGCAATCAACATTCAGTATCACAAAAGAAAGAGGTAAAAAGTAGCAGTACATCACCTTTCTTTTCTGCCCCGTAAGACCAGTCATTATCATTGACGTCATCGTTATCCTCTTGGTCACTCTCCGACTTGTTGTTGGTGTTGTTACCCGTGACTATTCTGTAAAAGACAGAAGAACAAAAGCATGACACGTACACAATGACTTGGCATTACTCGCCACAACTAACAGTTTGATTATAAGACAAATACATTCTGACCTGAAACAATATTTTTTGAAATGTAAAGAAAGATACAGTGCCTATCTTACTTATCATGCCATTAGTAGGAAAGTGCATTTTATTGAGCTTACAGGTCAATGGAAGAGGTGTACATTGTAAATAGATCTCTCTGGTTAGCTGTTCTACTCTCATACCTGCGGTTGGCTATGCGGCTGCTGTTGCGTCCCATCCCCAGGCACTTCTCCAGATGTGGGGCAAAGCGTGAGGCAGCAATGCTTCGGCTGCAGTTGGGACATACACACTCCTTGTTTTTCCACTGGTTGTACACCTGGCCAAACACGTCCAATCCCGGCTGGTCCACGATTTCTGGAAATTTAAAGCAAGCGATAAACTGTTCTGCTTTACAGTCGCATGGAGCACATAATAGACAAACCTGCTGTTGATTTATGGAGTGAGTGTATTGCCTGAATGTTTTGTTGCTATGTCTTCAGAAGTGTTGGCAGCTACAGAAATGCTTCACCTTTATTTCACAAGGGAGACAGAATCACTTTGTGCTCACCAAAGTCCCTCATACTTTCTTGGTCCGTGTCATCCAGGAAAAAATAGCCCTGCTTAACGGCCCGGTGGACCTCAAAGCAAAGACCCAGGCATGCATCCTCCACCAGGTCAGACAGGATGTCCTGAGCTAGGCCCTGGCAGGGATGGGCCAGAGGGGGAGGAAACAGACACAAGTCAGCCCACTGTCTGTTTGCATCCTGCAGATGTACTGTGCATTTCCCAAGGCTACCTGGACTACTACTGCACTGTGGCCTCGCTCTACTGTACCTCCAGCTTGCTGTTGTCCAGGCTGGACATTGAAACCTCCTCCATTTTCATTTGCCAGAACTATCAGATGAGCCGACGCTGCTGTGGTCATGCTGTAGCGCAGCAAGCATTGGCCAAAACAGGGCTGCAGCAGGAGGGAAACACACAGTTAGCAACACAGTGGCACTCAGTCCTGTTTTAACCAATTAATGTAAAGCAGTGCATAGGGAACATATGACGCCTTGAATGTGATGCAGCTACTTACAACTGCGCGTTGAACACCGCCAGGGAGTTACTTCCCACGTTTATAACCTACGAAAAACACGAAGCAGAAAGACTTAGCGTTCGTGTTGTCCCAGTAAAAACAGACAAAAAAGAGACAAACATGACCTCGATTGTCAAGACGCCACCTTGCTGGCCCCGAGCACTACCGTCTAACGAAGGCAGCTAAGCCAAAACCTTGCCGAAGAAAACAAAGAGCGGGGCTATGAATAGGCTGCAGAGGATTTGAACATGCCAAGAGGTAACGTTAACAACAGTGGAGGTATCCTCCCCAAAATGCCTCGAGGTGCACAGCTCGGAGCTACACGTCACATGCGTCAGTCCGGGCTGAGCAAACAGAAATACTGTGACACATTTGTAGGAGACTCAGTGGTTTTTGCTGTTTAGGAAATATTGACTACAGCGAGGCTCGTCCCCGAACCCAACGCTTACACCGCTGCGGCACTGCGGCTGCTCACCCCTCGTACAAAAACTCACGAAGGAAGAAAACAAACAAACCCTTGTATCCCATTATGAGGCCTATCCACGAGGAATAACGTTACCGCAATCACAGCCACGCAAAATCGGCCAATTGTGTTTATTTACCTATTCCGGCAGGCATCCATCTTTACATCACACAGATCAGACAGTAGCAATCGATCGCTACTCGACTCTCCACTGAGAGCTTCCTTTGCAGCACCACCGGGGCTTTTCTCACTCACTCCGAGTGTATTCGTCATCCAGACCAGCACTTTAGGGTTAAATTGGCCTTTTGTTTGACTGTTTTTGTGCCTTGTTATTTGAACTTTTTCCTTTTATATCAGACACTCCAACATGAACTACATCTTTATTGACCATGTTTATTAAAAAAAAAAGTATTTTCTTTCTGTGATTTACATACAAGTAAGGGTTTACAGCAATACTAAAAGCAATGCTTTGTATGTTTTCCCACTCAGTTAAATAATACAAAAAATAATAAGAAAATTATTATTTAATGACAAATCTGACAATCTGAGCGGCTGGTGCCAATAAAATGTCATGATCATGATGCTTTCTCTAACTTTATACGTACATTTTGTCAGTGTTTAACAGTAGAGGTTGAAAATTAGGTGATTACTGGTATAATAAAGTGTCTGTCATCTCCTGTATATTATGATTACCTCATATGCATTATGTTGCGGTAAGGATCAGAATAATCTACATGTGGGGCCCCTGGGCAAATCCCCTATTAACATCCCATTTCCCCCTCACTCGGTGTCCATGGTGAACAGCATTCTAGTGGCGGATTATTAAATAGGCCCAGGTTTGATGTGTGGCAATTTGAAAAAAATAATACCCAGAATGCAAGCAACACAAAATAATGAAGATCTTAAAACTGGACTTTTCCAGAGGGATCCCAGGTTTCCAGGGGCTTCAAGGCGCTGATCACATCACTTATTATTGTGCAAACTCATTTCCATATAGTAGGTAACTCTGGGCTTTTATGGGCTGTAATCCAGCCTTGGTTGTTGCACATCACGTAAGTGCAATGGTGATGGCAACCTCCCAGCTAAGATGGCCGTCATACAATGTGGCATTAAAGTCAGCCATTGGAGCGTTTGTCCATCATCTCCGATCCAGAATACAGCTCTGAGCTTGATGTGCATGTGACTCTTCTGCTGTCCATCTCATCACCATCTAATAGATCTCAAACATGATGTCATCCCCTTCTTCTTCCTCCTCATCCTGTGGACCAACAGTTAATATTTATACCACCTGGACACACAGTCGCAAAATTAAAATACTAAAGTACTAATAAATCTGTTTAAGTATTCAAACCTCTTCACAGTCAAACTTGTCCTCTTCTTCGTCACTGCTGCTGTACTCAATGTCTTCATCTTCTGAATCCTGTGTGACGTACCATTAAATATGGACTGAAAATGTAGCTTTTTAACCCTGCATACAGCGTGTAGAATATTTTTTTCAAATCAAATTATTCCCACTTACTCTTCTTAATACTTTCATATATATGTTTAACTCACTTACTGATGACTACATACCAAAACAATATTTTTGAGTTGTATGTGAAAATATGAGTCAATAGTAAACCTTAGTAAACATTAGTAAAATGAATAATTTCAGATAAAGTACATTTACTTTAACTAGAAGACAACCTGCACTATCAGAGAGCTTTGCATTGGTCACATTAGAAAAGCATGTATTACTTCATGTGTGTTGAATCAACAGTTCAACTTACTGACGGTCTGTACAAGACTTCTCGTTTCTCATAAACTTTAATTTCTTTGGCATCAAGGTATTGCCATTTCTGCAAGAGAAGAATATTATCAACCTAAGGAAACAATCTTAGAAAAAACCCAAAGAAACACATAAATAAAAATAATAATTTTTTTGCTTACAGTGGGGTTGCATGTCTTATAGTCTATTTGCTCTGCTGGCGTCAATGTCTGAAGAATGTAGAAGGAGACAAATATTAGAGTTTTAGTGAAATAAAAACTGCCTGGATTAAAAAAATAAAATAAAATAAAAACACATCAGAAAGAAATGATTCTTTATACCTTAAACCACTTCTGCAGCTCCATCAAGTATTGTGTAAACTTTTCATATGCTTTCTCTTTGTAGTGTTCCTTTTCCTTATTGGAGAGGTCACGCCACATTTGGCTGCACCTGATTAAGCGCTCCTTTGAGTTTGGGAATTTCTCCTTCAGAAATTCCATTTGATCTTTGCAGAAAACTATATTTCCAGATCTGCAATAAAAGAAAAAAAGATCAGTCAAAAGCCTGTCTTCAGATAGACAGACTTAATTCTGGGTCTTGTAAAGGAACAAATGTTTTACGGTCATGCTCACCGAGACGGCATCTTGGGCTCGCCAGGAAGTAGAAGCTTCACTTTACTTTTAATGCTCTGCATGTCAATGACAAAAATTATCTTTCAAAGAGCAGATTGACACAATGCAGTTTATTAAAAAGTGAAGAGTACACAAACAACACCCACTGAGTATGAGCTTATATGAGGCCTATTGTAAAAGAGAAACACCTTAAAGAGGTGGTATTATGGTTTTAGGCTTTTTCCCTCTCCTTTATTGAGTTATATCTCTTTTTTGTGCATTTACTAGGTTTGCAAAGTGAAAAAGCCCAAAGTCCACCCCAAAGGGAGTTCCCATCTCGCACAGAAAACTCTGTTCTGAACTGCCTGATAACACCTCGTTTGTAGTCCAGCCTTTACTTCCCTTTCTTGTGACGTCACAATGAAAATACGTGTCATAATGCTCGCTGAGCGACTACTCCGATACACCCTCAAAAACAACACCTTCCAAACACTAGCTACCCTCCAAGCAGTCAATGTACATAAAGTTGTTACTGTGATGTAGAGACAGAGCTCAGTTAAAACTTTATGGATGAAAGATACTTTTGTTACAGATTAATAACCCACCACTCTGAAACTCCTGCTCCAGTCCAAATCATCAAAAACATGTTAGGTTCTCCAGTCAGTGACATTGACAACACACTGATAAAAGATCTGGAGTTGGTCCCTGGGCGCTGCACAGCGGCTGCCCACTGCTCCCTTGAGGGATGAACATGTATGTGACAATAAAGCATCTTCTTCTTCTAAATTGCCAACCTGGTCAGCAACGTGTAGCCTACAGCTGAATCTAAGCTGTTTACCATCTTTTCGCTGACCCGCCTTTCTCAGCTTCTGATTGGCTAGTAGTCCTTAACTAGGAATTGCGCATGTGCGACTCCCAACAAAGATCATTTAGAGACAAGATGTATCACTCCGTAGCTAAAACGAAGCCTTCAACACAGGGTGAACAGAGGAACTGCAGCAATCTGCAGTATGACAAAAAATATGGTGTTTTTTGAAAATTAAACCATGTAAACCTGTTCTGGTACAACCCCTAAATAGGATTTTGAACCTGAAAATGAGCATAATACCACTTCTTTAACAACATGGTTTGAATAGGTTATGTTTCCTAATTAGTCAACAAAGTGTTAAAAACAGCCTTTCCTCACACAGATGTTTTTAAATAACTGACGGTTATTGATCACAAAACGAGAGGTGACAGCAGGTCTACAAGTACTGAACATCTATTCAGGAACCATGGAATGACGTCTCACCTTGCACTCTTTAGGTCTTTTGATGCCATGCTTATTTAGGACCCGCTCCTGCTCCTCCTCATCCATATTCTGAGGAACATAAACACTCCCGTCACACAAAGTCTGTCAGCGTCAGCTCAATGCTGCAGCCGTGGTCTTGTAAATTACTTACCTTTAGATACTGATTCAGGTCAATCGAGTACTGCTTCTTCAACTGAAAAGAAACAAGCGTTTTATTCAGATTCAACAGATTTTTACTTTAAACCGCCGTGACAATCTTGTGGTTCGGCAGCTGATGAGCAAGTTATTTTTTGTAGTACTGTCTGCGTGATACAGTTTGTGTGTGTGTTCATACCTCTCTGCAGCGCGTGCGGTACTCATGTCTCTGCCTGTCAGTCAAATCTCGCCAGCGTTGGGCCCACACACTCGAGAAGCCTTGCACTGAGACACCCGCCATGGACCCTAGTTGTTCTTCTCGGAATAGATTATAGCCATTGCTAAAGTTAAACACACACCAAACATCAGAATCAGAATCAGCTTTATTGTGTGCTCAGCTGCATCTTTGTTAGCTTAAATTGGTTTAGTTAAGACATAAAAGGTGAATAAAAACTATGATAAAGCTAGGTATAAAATAAGGCAATCCTCTAGAATTTGTTGATTCTCCAATGGGATTCTTCATATCTGACAAGAGGCAGGACATACTGAGAATAAATGGATGGAAACGCCATGCCCCCTAGTGGATGAGGATGTAAATGAAGTCACCTTTTGAAGACAGTCTATGTGGTGCACCCTTTCAGCGAAGGCTCCTCGCTTTGTCAGGGAGGTACTAAAGAAGATGCGCTCCAGCACAGCAACCTGACCAGCACAGTGCCCGGTTCAATGGTGTGGGAGCGGCTTGCCACTTGTACCAACAACGTGGTAAACAGACAAATGAACACATATTTCATGTAGGCTTGTCATGGAAAAGGTGCTGCAGTGCCTCTGCCAAAACTTGTGTTTCCCAGGAAACTTAACAAACATTACCTCTTTGCCTCAGGTGAATGATGGTCGTTCAGGTATTGATGATCTTGGCAAACGACCCCACAGAGGTTAAATAGTTGAGTTTCCCTACTATATAGTTCAGAACTAAAGACGTCTCTTGGATGAGGGACAAAACGTCTTCTAGTATCTTCAACCAAGTCCAGTTGCCCTTGACTTTAACCTTCTTTGGATGTGTGAAAAGAGGAAATTAAAGATTTAACATCATACCTGCAGCTTCATTTGCAGTC